TAAGTTGTAAAATTTGAATTCAGCCCTATAAGAAGGCTATAAAGGAGAAGGACGGTAAACAGTTTTTTGCCCATAACTTTTCCTCAGACTAACCTAAAATTACAATTTAAAGCTTATTTCGTAGCTAATTCAATTCTCTATCGAATGATACCAAATTTAAATTTATCGGTTTATTCTTTCCTGAGTTATAAGGTTTGAACTAACCATCGTCCTTTAGAGAGACTGTAAGGGGGAGAGGAAAGAAAGCTTAAAAATAACAGAGGAAATCAATTTTTTAGAAAGCTCAAATATTTTTAAAAGAAAATATACAATTTATTTTTAGTTTTAAAGTAAAATAAATAAAATATATTTTAAGTAAAAAAATCTAATCCATGTTTTTTAGCCCTTCTCCCCCTTCTTCCCACTCATCTTGCGCAGCATGTCGTCAAAGAAATGAACAAATAAATGAATATAAAAATTTGTTGAGTGAGTTGGAAAATTTTAAGTATAAAATGGAAGCAAAAAAATTTTTGAAAAAGGAGAGAACATGGAAATAAAAAAAATTTTTTTCAAAAAATCTCCAACTTTTCACACTCCCTGATAAACGTCTTGGGGGATGTATTGGGGGGTATAAATCAGGCTAGGGGCATTTGATGACTGTCCTACCCATTCCATATCATTTCCCACCTTTTCTCATTGTTTTCAACAAGAATATAATTTAGGCTGGGATAAGGGAGGATGAGTAACTGTAGGGGGGAAGGGGGGTTTCTATGTTGCTACACCCTTACAGAGTTTAGCCAGGGATAATTGAGAATATTTTAACTGTAGGGAAGTGAAGGGGCTGGGTTGTGTTGTTACACCCTTAGAAACCCCTAGAAAAGGTGTTCTTACAAAATAGTTATTCTAAAGAAGACTAAACTGGGGATAAAAATTGATATAAGAGAAATAACTAGTCTTAGAGAAATAAATTTAAAAAATAAAAGAGGAAGTAGAAAATGAAGAAAAACGAATTTTTAAATTTTAACTGAAAGAACTAATAAAGAAGAAAAAAAAATTTTTTTTAATATTAGCGTGTGAAGCCTTAAAGTTTTAATATAAAATAAAGTCTCCCTTAAAGACCTATTTTCTTTAAGAAAAAGTTGTTGCTAATAGATACGCTAATATAAATTAGTTTTTAATATTAAATGCTTTAATGAACACCGGTAACTTTAAATTAAAGGGAAAAAAAGTTGGAAATGTTTTTAATATCTTAACAAGTTTTTAAGGTTTTGAAAAGTGCACGAACGGAAGCAAACTTGTTTTAAAAGAATAAAACAAGTTTAATTAAAAATTTACAAACAAGTTTATTTTGTTTTTCAAGTTTTTTTATTTCCAAAGTTTTAAAACAAGTTTAATTAAGAAATGTTTGCAAACAAGTTTATTTTGTTGTTTCAAAACATGTTTATTTTCAAGTTTAGAAAAACAAGTTTATTTAATAAATGTTTGCAAACAAGTTTATTTTGTTGTTTCAAAACATGTTTATTTTCAAGTTTAGAAAAACAAGTTTATTTAATAAATGTTTGCAAACAAGTTTATTTCATTTATGTGTTTAAACAAGTTTATTTCCAAGTTTTAAAACAAGTTTAATTATTTTCAAGTTTAAAAAAACAAGTTTATTTAGTAATGTTTGCAAACAAGTCTATTTTGTTTCGAAGTTTTAAAACAAGTTTATTTTAAAGAAAAACAAGTTGTTTTGAATTAAAGTTCATTTAAGTTTAGAAACAAGTTTATTTTTTACCTAATTGTTTCAAGTTTATTCTTTGCTTCAAGATTCGTTTTAAAAAAGCTTTATTTAAATGTGAAACAATAAATAAAGTAAATTAAACTCAAAAAAGAATATTTATTCCAAAAATTGAGCTTTAAATTTAAAAAAATTCATAATATAAAATGTATATTTAAATTTAAAATCAGTAACAAAGTGAAAACACCCATTTCTTAAATATATTTAATCATCAGACACTTCTCGGATCAGAGTAAATTCATTCTGAAAAATTAAAATTATTAGCAAGTTTATTTTAAAGTTTTAGATAAGTTTTATTATTATGCTTAAAAACAAGTTTAATTTTATAATAAACAAGTTTTAATTGTTTAGAAACAAGTTTAATTTAAACAAACAAGTTTTATTTGTTTTTTTAAATTAAAACAAGTTTATATTAAAGTTTATTTAAAGTTTTAGACTAAGTTTGATGTTTAGAAAAACTTATTTAATGTTCATTTAATTAAAACAAGTTTTAAATGTTTGGAAACAAGTTTTATTTTTTGATTTATCAAAACAAGTTTATTTAATGTTTATTTAATTAAAACAAGTTTGAATGTTTGGAAACAAGTTTCATTTAAATTTTATCAATTTCAACTTTTTCCCCTTACCATTTCTTCATTCAAAGCATTAGAACTACATTCCACACGAATTTCAAACCGTTTAGAAGCATCAAATTTATTCACTAGACTATAACGAACTTCAACCTCTTCATTCTCAGTCCCCTCTTCTTCATCCACTTTAAATGTTGTGGAACGATAAATTAATCTCAGTCCTGTAATGTTTGTATGTATCCAGGGCGCAGGGTGTGAAGAAAAATTTAAATTAATTTTTTTAATTATTTGGTCTGGATGGCGAGTCTTACGGCAATGCTAAAAAAAAGTTTTAATTATATCCTGTTTCGAAGCAAGTTTATTTTAAAGTTTCGAACAAGTTTGTTTTAAAGTTCATAAACATGTTTAATTTTAAAGAAAAACAAGTTTATTTTAATAAACAAAGTTAAATTAAACTTGTTTATCCTTAAAATGAACATGTTTTTAGAGGCTTGTTAAACGTTTTTGAATGTTTAAAAACAAGTTTATTTTTATTTTTTTAAACAAGTTTGTTTTATGTTTTGAAACAAGTTTATTTTAAAGTTTACAAACTTGAATGTTTAAATTTTCTAAACATGTTTGTTTTAATGTTTATCTAAAGAAGTTTATTTTTATAAATGTTTAAATTCAACTTGTTTTTCTTCAAAAATAAACAAGTTTATTTAAAACAAGTTTATTTATTTTCATCTTTCCAACTTGTTTTATTTAAACTTGTTTTTTCTACCTTAATAAGAGCATCAAAAATATTATCCCATCCTTGTTGTTCATCCCCATTAAATTTAACATTTTGGGGTAAAAATCCAAAAGCAGTTAACGATTCTGGATAAAATCTTTTTTTATTTCCTTCTTTATTAATTAAATAATTATAAAATTCCAAATTTCCTTTAATATCCCAAATTGTGATTGATTTTGCTAGCAAAGTTTTATGAAGGAAGGACATTGAAATTGGTTGATATGAACGAAAATCGTCTGTACTTATCGGCAAAAATTTGTTTAAATTAAATTTTGAGAGAAAATTGGAAATAAAATCTCTTGTCCAACGATGTTCTTCAATGAAAAATGAGGAAGAATGTATCTAAAACAAAAATTAAAACTTGTTTTTAAACATGTTTTAATAATTTTTAAAACAAGTTTACAAACAAGTTTTTAGGGAAAAGAATAAAACATGTTGTAAATAAACAAGTTTATAAAAACAAGTTTATTTAAAAAACATGTTTGTTTTTAAGAAAGACAAGTTTATTTTAAAGTTGGAGAACAGGTTTATAAAAACAATGTTTTGAAACGTTATTTAATTAATGTTTGAGATAGAATGAATGTTTTGAATTTTAAGGGAGAAAAACAAGTTTATTTTAAAGTTTTGAAACAAGTTTATTTATTAAACTTGTTTTTTATAAAGTTTGTAAACAAAACAACTGTAATAAAAACAAGTTTATTTTTAATTAAAACAAGTTTATTTTTGTAAAAACAAGTTTATTTTGTATAAAACATGTTTAATTTTAATAAAAACAAGTTTATTTTAATCAAAACAAGTTTAATTAAAACTTCACCTTAGAAAACTGTCTAAACCAAAAAATAGCCGTAGCCAAATGCAAACGGTTTTGAAGCATATTAGGCAAATAAACAAAAAATTTATAATTGTTTCTTTCAGGCAAATAATTAACAAATTTGCAGCATTCACATTTACTATAACATTCACAGCTGTCCTTATCATTTTCATTAATATTTATAAAAAAATAAATATCATCAGGATTAGTGTTTCCATCGTGTGAAGCAAGCATTTTGACTGGTCTAATCAAACGCCCGTCAGAATAAAATTTAAAATTCTGAAAAAAATATTTTTTTTAATTTAATTTCTGTACCCATTGAACAGTAGAAAGTGTGGCTAACAATGGACCCAGTTCTTGTGGTGGAATTTTTAATTCTTTATAATTTTTGAAGGAACAATATTTTGATGATTGGCTAAGGTAAGTGTCTGTATTCTTTAAAGGGAAAATTATTAAAACTTGAAGCAAGTTTATTTTAAAGTTTTATAGTATTTAATTTTGTTGGAAACAAGTTTATTTTAATTCAAGTTTATTTTAGTGTTCGGAAAAGTTTGTTATAATTCAAGTTTATTTTAATGTTCGGAAACAAGTTGTTATAATTCAAGTTTATTTTAATGTTCGGAAACAAGTTTGTTTTAATTCAAGTTTATTTTAATGTTCGGAAACAAGTTTGTTTTAATTCAAGTTTATTTTAATGTTCGGAAACAAGTTGTTATAATTCAAGTTTATTTTAATGTTCGGAAACAAGTTTGTTTTAATTCAAGTTTATTTTAATGTTCGGAAACAAGTTTGTTTTAATTCAAGTTTATTTTAATGTTCGGAAACAAGTTTGTTTTCATGTTTGCAAAACAAGTTTATTTCGAAATTAAAATTGTTTGTTTGAAGTCTGTTTCCAAACATTAAAAACAAGTCTATTCGTAAAAACAAGTTTATATTTAAATGTTTGTTTTAATAATAAAACAAGTTTATTTAAAATTAATGTTTTGTCTAAACAAGTTTGATTTTTAATGTTTGCAAAACAAGTTTATTTTAATAACAAGTTTGTTATAAACTTGTTTTAACACTTTTTTCAAAACAAGTTTATTTTTATTACAACTTAACAAAAAGACCTACAATTGCAAAACGTCCAAATTTATATTTTGGCCTGAAAAACATAACAAATATTTTTTTAATTTTTAAATTTTACCAAATTTCTTCATTTCCCTTCACAACATTATAAAAATGTTTATTAGTTAATTGAACAGAATTAAAAAGTTGTTTGCGCGTTAAAAATTTGAAAACTTCAATTAACGGGTCATTAAAACTGTTGTCTATTATTGGACCTTTTAAACGATAACGCAGCTTTTTTGAAACTTGGGTGAGCTGGGAAAGTTGTAAATCAAGTTTTTCTCTTGGAAAGGTTTCAAGGCTGTTACTGGTGGTCGCTGAAGGCTAAAAATGGAAAATTTTCAAAATGTCATTATTTCAAGATGGTAAAATTTCAAAATGGGCAGAAGGCAAAAATATTTCAAAATGTCAACAAAAATTGACATTTTGACACTTTTTCATTTTCTGACCATTTTTAAACTTTTTTTCGTCTTCTGACCATTTTACAACCAAAAAAAAATTTTTTTTAATCACCTGCTTCAATGCTTGAAGCAAATTGATACATTTCGAGTTGAATTCACAGGCGTGAGTCGTAAAAGCATCAAAATTAAATTCTTCGTCTTCCATTTTTTAAATAAATTTAATTTTATCTTAAAAATAAATTTTTTTAATTTTTTAAAAATAAATTTTTGTTTTTTTAAAGATGATTTACCCGTTATTATTGATCGGTAATGTTTTTCAGTATTAAAAAAGAAATGGAAAGCATTATGTACAGCCCCCCACATTTTCCTTGCAAAAAGGGAATAAAATTAATAGCTATGTAAAAATGGTCAACCCCTAAAAATATTGCAAAATGGTCAATACCCATAAAAATTTCAAAATGGTCAGAAAACTGAAATGTTGCAAAATGGTCAATTCCTATAAATATTTAAAAATGCTCAGGAAAACCTCCGTCATATGTCTCGGAAACCTACTCGGACAAACCTTATGTCATTCGAAAGTGACTTACCGAGCTGAGTCGCTTTCATTGGGTACAGCCCAAAACGGCGCGCGGCCATAACGGCGCAAAGCCATAACTTGGTGGAAAAGGTCTGGCCCTTATCAATTTTGGTAACAATCTCTTTAGCTTGATGAGAGGAATCGTTTAATACCAAATTTGGTAAGATTCGGAAATCTTGAAGCAAGTTATGGCTAAGCGCCGTTATGGCCGCGCGCCGGCGTGTCCCCCCTTTTTTTTTGTATTAAAAAATTTTTCAAAAAAATTTTTCAAAAATTTTCGAAAAAAAATTTTTAAAAATAGAAACAAAGTCAAAAAATTAGACAAAGTACCACTCAAAAAAAAAATTTTTTAAATAAAGGAGTTACAAAAATAGAAAGGAAAAACAACAAAAAACAAAGCAATATTTGTTTATTTAACCTGCCTCTCTATTAAAGTTGGTATTTAAATAAATTGGGTAAATCCCTCAAAAAATCATTCTCACTTCTCCCTCCAACAAAAAAAAATCCAGAAAAATGCAACACCCGCTTAATGTTTTTCTTCTTTTAATAATTTTAAATTTTGTATTTGTTTCAATTCGAACAGAATGTCTTAAAAATGGAAATGCTGATATTGGAAGTAAGGGTAGATTTTTTGAAAGGTTACCGCATATATTATGCCCATTTTGGATAAAAAATGGAAGATTGTCATGGAAGATTTTTGATTTGAGTTGCTAATATTGCCCCGATCTTCTTGATCCTCACTCAAGAAAAATCAAGAAAATTGGTTATATCAAAACACTGGTCTTTAACAATCATTAGAGGGCTGTTATTCTTTCTTCTCCCTTCTTCTCCAGATTTTTACCACCTTAGATTACCTTTGCTATTATTTGAAGTTTCTCACTCCTTATATCATCCAATTGTAAGGATGATTACCTAGAGCATTTAAAACGCTTAGGCGGGGGGTTAAAAAAGAAGCATTAGTCGACGCACCGGTAGCTCAGAGGTAGAGCACTTGCAATTTGTGTGAGTTAAGCGAGCGAGAACTGTCAGCGTTGTCGCAACCCTGCCCGGTGGCTAAACTTTCTCTAAACTCTCAATAGAGGCATAAGGTTGTCAGATCCGGATCCGAAAAAAGGCAGGATATTCTGAAATTTCCAAATATCCGACAAACTTACTTAGAGGCAATCCCCTTAAACCCAAACAGAAAATAGATTTCAATTTAAATTTATTAAGATTGCGTAAATTCAAAATGCCCTGACAGATATGAATGTACCGCTGAATATAAATGCTGTAATTATTCCATTTATAATTCAAAAAAATTGAATTTAAAGGCTATACAGGTACATCAACATCCAAACAAAATCCAGATTTAAATTTAACACAAATTTCACAAAAAACGGATGATTTTCTTAATGGGTTTAGAAAAATATTACAAGGCATTTTTAGCCTAGAACAATAAAAAAAATTAAATTTTTTATTCTTTTTATTGTTAAAAAATTTAATTTTTTGAAATTTTGTATTTAATAAAAAAGGCAATTTTAAAGAAAATTTTTTTTGGAAAAAAATTTAGAAAACTTCATTGGAAAAAAATTTCAACTGAAAGGAGAAAACTCTCCAAGAGTGACGATAAAATTTTAATTTTTTTTTCAAAAAAAATTTTCACAATTAACTAGAAATGGAGTATTAAATAAATATATAAAATTTTCTATAATTTGTCTAACCGTATCTTTTTCAAATCAAAAATAAAATCAACAGAAGGCAAAAATGATAAGAGAACTCTGCTTTCAAATATTTTTAATTAAAAAATTTTTTGTTAAAATTTCTAAAAAAAATATAATTTGAAGGCAGGTGTCTTATTTGCAAAAATAATTTTAAAAAATTTCTTTAAGGAATGTGTATTTTTGTCAATTAAAAAATGTGTGTATATTTATTTTTATAAAATCATTCAACTACTAATATAAATCGGAAAATTAAAAAAAAATTTTTTGCGAAAAATGAGACTCCAATATTTTTAAATTTATTTAAAAATATATTTTTGAAACTAAATATGAAATTTAAAATAATTGAATGATTTTTTATATTTTTTAAACAAAGAAAACTCTCTAAAAATAAGGTCAAAATGTGGGGAGAGCTTATAAAAATAATTTTTTAAAATTTTTCACTATAAAATTATATAAATTAGTTTGTCTCTCTTTCTCCCCTTTATAAACTCACCAAAAAAATTTCTAAGTAGAAGCCATTTCCGGAACTGTACGAAAAACAATTCCAAAAGAAGCTAGACGGTCATAAATTTTGGTTTTCTTAAATGCTGCTGCGGAAGTAAAAACTCCTCTAAAAAATAATAAAAATTATTTTTTCTTGAAGAAAAAATACAAAAATATCAACAAAAATATTTTTTTCTATCCCAAGCCTTCTAAAAATGAGCGAAAAAATTAACAGGAGAAAATCCAATAAAATAAATTTTTTTGGTGTAGTGGGAAAATATTAGGTTCACTAGGGAAAAGGGTTGAAGGTTCGAACCCCTGCAAGGGAAAATATTTTTTTATTGCCATAAAATAATTTTTTAAATAATTTTCTGATAAAATTCATATCAAAAATAATTTTTAAAAATTAAAAAAAAATTTTTTGGTGTAGTGGGAAAATTTTAGGGTCACAAGGGAAAGGGTTGAAGGTTCGAACACCTGCCAGGGAAATTATTTTTTTAGCGCCAAAAAATAATTTTTTAAATAATTTTCTGATAAAATTCATATCAAAAATAATTTTTAAAAATTAAAAAAAAATTTTTGTTTACCCAGGCTTTGGCATATTTTCAGCTTCAGAAAGAATAGTCAATGCACACGACAAAACACAACCAGAAGTAGCAATGTAACCAGCTAAAAATTTGGAAAAATTATTTTAATAAAAAAATATTATTTTCTTTACCATCAGGTCCATCACAACGGACAACAACTTTCTTCTTTGGTTGTTCTTCAACGGGTGGTGGAATTGTTGTTTCATTCCAACCAGTGCCAAAGAACCAATATTCAAATGTTGCCTAAATGAAATGGAAAAAATTTTTTTAATTAATCGCTTAATTCGGATAATTTTTTAAATTGTTTGCTTTACTTTTCTTTCCTACCTACATTTTAAAAAAATTATGTAGTAAATTTTTTTACCCAGGCTTTGGCTCATATGGCTTTACCTCAAAACCAGCTTTTGGCTCATTAAGCTACATACTCCTTAAAGTATTTTATACTGAACGTGAGGGTAGGTTTTGCTCCAGAAATTAATGATCCTCAACCTAACATAAAGTACATTTTTTATTTGGTCGATTAATAGCCCCCTCCCTCGCTCCCCCCATTTAAAATAATACAATCATGACACCCCTCGATCCACACTACAACAAAGCCCAATCTTATATAAAAAATATATTTTTTAACAACCTCCTCCGCTTGTTGACGTGTCGGTCCACTATTCTTAAACATATAGGCAGAACAAATGTCCGGATATTTTTGAAGAATGTTGCGAGTCCAACTAAACTTGACCGCAATTTGAAAGATCATTAGCCACGTCAATAATGCTAGAGCCCAAAACCCGCTTTTGACACAAATGTAAGTCTCTATCGTTGCCTGGAAATTGAAAAAAAAATTTTTTTCGAACGAATAATTTAAATAAACCGGAAATTTCTTGTCCATTTGAGCATCAAAATATTGTGAACGTTGAACAATGTTTTTATCAGCACCCAAAAATGGAAGACAATAACACTTTAATTTGTCATTGTACCAAAAAGTTGAACGCTTTGGAGCACGCCAACGAGTCTTTACCAGCTTTTCAGGCATTATAGCTTTACGAATACGTCCAAGTCCGTCGTCCTTAGCTTTCCAAATGCCAAGAATGAGTGTTTGGTAAGTTCCGGCATTGAAGGAATAACCCTAATTTTGATAGAAATGTTTGGTTTATTTGGAGTGTCCAGGAAAAAATGAAAGAATTTGGAGGAAGGCAGTGTTGGAGAAGCCAGAAAAATGGTTAACAAAGTATAATGCTTCACCGAACCGTGAAGTTGGTTCAAATTTGGGCGAAATCGAAACTAAAATTTTGTCAGGATCCGGAACCAGGACTTCCGACGAAGCTCTAGAACGAAGGGATAGGTAAAATGAGAAAAAAAGTTGGGTCGGCTTTATGGGGCAGTTCTTCAGAATTTTCCAGATCAGGCAAAACAATCGAATCAAAAAAACCTGCCCCATCCAATATCAAGCATGACTGTTACAAATTGAAAGAAAAGTCGGGTCGTATTTCGTACCGAAAAATAGGAGGTAATCCGACAACCTCACAAACTAGCAAATTTTGGGTGACAAGGAGAATAAAAAATAGGGTTGGGGTTTTCGAGTCGGGCCGACGTTCGAGTCATTTTTTCGAGCCGGCCCGAACGCTTTTTTTCGAGCCGGCTTCATTGCCAGACTCGATTTTTCGGACCGGACCCACAACCCTATATGTAAATATCTAAAAAAATAATTAAACTAACGGATTCTCCAGTATTAATCTTTGCAAAAGTCTCAGCATAAGTCAAAGTCCCATCAAAGTTTTTCTTCAAAAATTCCATTCCCATATCACAAGGGATAGAATCCCAACCACAAGCGCTAACAATAAAAACTCCCTTCTCTTTAGCCTGTTCAGAATATTTCATCTGCATTGACTCAATCCACTAAAACGAATAAAGTGTAAGACAAAAGTGTTGTAAAACCGGGGCCAAGGATGGAAGGAATTCAAACATGAAACTTAACCCGTTCGCGAGGTTTCCTCACTCATTATCAGCACCAAATCAACTCCAACAACCAAAGCCAGAGGGGAAAAATTATGCCAAATTTTGGGACTTTGGAGGGCCAGATCAGAAAACGGGCAAAAACGGCTCAAAATCCTTGCTAGAAAGGGCACATTTTCTATCGAATGAGCTCGGTCTCGACCGTTTTTAACTCGGACACCTCGCAACCTTCTCTTGTCAGAGTTTAAAAAGCTTAGGTTGTATATACCCCAGTATCCTAACCATATTGCTAGACCCATACAATATGGCCAGTGAGTGGAGTAACTCAATGATCCCTATCCAAAACGGGTAGTGTCAAAAAAGTGATTATGTTATTTTCACATAAATCAGATTCATAAATCAGATTATTGATTTATGTTATTTTCACATAAATCAGAAAATGGGGCAGCTCACACTCAAGCTGGGTCTGGACCAAGGCCTGGGGTTTCCTGTATTCACATTCAGAGTCCAGGCATTTTTTGACCTTCCTTGGTCTTTCCGGGACTCCAGACCAGACGTGGGCGAAACGTTTCGTTTCGTTTCGTTGTTTCGTATGTTTCGTATGATTTTTACTGTTTCGTCTCGTTTCGTTACGAAACACTTTTAAATTTGTTTCGTTTCGTTTCGTTACGAAACACCTGTGATTTTTCAACGAAACGAAACAATTTTTTAAGCCTAAACTAAGGCCAAAATCTATAAAATTTACCATCTTTTATTGAAAATTTAAAAAATTTTCGCCTGCGGCGCTGAAAAAAAAAGAATTTCGGCTTCTTGGCTTTCCCAAATTGTCAAAATTTTCGCCTGCGGCGCTGAAAAAGGAAGATAGCAATTACTTATATACTACACTGGAACCGGAACTTCCGGCGAAGCACTAGCTTATATCGCCTTCCTCTCGAAATGGAGATATGGAGACAATTTGGGTAGGCAATGGAGCAAGATGGTGAATTTTTTGGCCTACGGCCTTTCAAAATTTTAAAATTTTTCGTCTGCGGCGCTTAAAATAAAATTTTACTTGAAAAATATTCAATTTTATTTAAAAAAAAGCGTCGCCAAAAATTTGGCTTCGAAAATGATTGACCCCCCCCCCCTTCCCCGAAAATTTTCCTTGCTACGGGCCTGGCTTATGGGACACAATTGTTGTAAATAAACCAATAACTAAATCATTTATAAGTCATAGTCGACTAATAACGTATTTGAGGTCGAATAATTTCGAAATAAATGCAGTTTTGAAAATTTTTTGAATATTAAAATGTTTCGTTTTGTTTCGTTTCGTTTCGTAAGATTTTGGTTGTTTCGTTTCGTTTCGTTAACGAAACGATTTTTAAAAAATTTTGTTTCGTTTCGTTTCGTCAGAAAAAAATTTTGAGTTTCGCCCAGGTCTGCTCCAGACCCGGGCCAATAAATCAAACCCGGAACCCAGGAACAGGCCAAGACTTTTCAAAAATCTCGATCTCTATTGTATTCCTTAACGTTTCAATGGAAGTCTATGGAGGCAAGATGATCGAAATTGGAAGTACCAAAGACCCTCAAAATGTAGCTAGTAAAACTCTAGACTTTCCTTAACTCATAGAACCGTTAGAAATTAAGAAATAAAAAACATACTGCAGGCTCTCCAGAGATGTCAACGTGGCTGGAACCATTCTCCACAGCAGCCTTAACAACAGCTTCACCATAAAGACGATACTATTTAAAGTTAAAATTAGAACAGAAAAACATAAAAATAAAAAAGGCGGGTACTACTGAAGAAAAGGGTGCTTTTTCTGCGGACTTATTTTGCGGACTTTTCCTTTCCTTTACATGTTTTACTTGTAGCAACTAACTGTCAACGGCCCTCCCCCTATTATTTTTCTTACCTAAGATTGTACACAATGGTCAGATTTTCTTCTTTCTCTTTTCCTCTATTTGCCGTGTGGCATATTCAAACAAAAGACATTGATACAGAGAAGATTAATTTTATTTTTTTCATTTCTGTTTAAATGTTTTGCTTATAGCAACTAACAGTCAACGGATTATTTTTTATGCCGGTCTGAAAAATGTCGTTCACAAATAATTTAAACATTACAAACGAAAAAAATGTTACAATCAATAAAAAATTTTACTTTAACTAAATTGTATGATAAAATTAAATTACCCAATGATGAATTTCAACAATGGATCACTGATCTCGGAATGCTTCATAGAAAAAGAACATGTGATTGTGGAAAAGAAATGCGTAAAGAGAAGCGTGGACAAAATGGAAGATGGATATGTAAGAAATCAGTATGCAGAAAAACAAAGGGTGCTTTAGTTGGAACATTTTTCGAAAATTCAAAACTTTCTTTGACACAAATCATACAGGTACAATTTTTCAATTGTTTTTTATCAAATTATTATTAAGATAATGTAATTGTTGTTTCAATTGTTTTGTTGTTTCAATTGTTTTTTTACAAATAATAATTCAATTGTTTTTTACAAATAATCAAAAATATTTGTGCGAATAAAAATTAATCCTTTGACAGTTAGTTTGCTACAAGCTAAAACATTATCTTTTAAAAAAAAGGGAAAAAGAAGGAAAGGAAAAGTCCGCAAAATAAGTCCGCAGAAAAAGCACCCTTTTCTTCAGTAGTACCAAAAGGCGTAGCCAGGGAGCTGAGTGGGCTCTAGCCCCTTGAACTAAGGAAAATGAAAAAATTTGGAAATAGGAATGCCAAAAAGGTGAAATTTTTCCCGCCTGCAACCCACAAAACAACCCACACCTAGAACCCTAAAACTAGACGTACAAACAAAAATTTGCTTTCGAAATGCCAAAGTAAACACCCCTCATTCTAACACCACACTAAAATCTGCCTCCTACAACGCCCTTGAAAATTAGGGTAGGACAAAGCCGATTAACCGTCCTGTTAATTTTTCCCTGTGGCGGGGCAAAAAAGTGAAGAGAGAAGGGGGAAAGAGAAAGAAAGAAAAGTTACAGGGTCAGTTAACCGGTCGGTTACCCGGCTTTGTCCTACCCTACTAAAAATTTATACCGGTCCAACAACGTTGACAATAACCTTCGCTTGCTTGGCCATCTGAACGAGTTGATCTTCGTGCTCATTGTCAGCAATAATTATCGGAATTTTGGACAAATCCTTATCTTAAAAAAATTTTTGAGAAAATTTTAAAAAATTTCAAAAAACCTGTCAACTTCCCGACCTTAGTCAAAGTCTCTTGCAATTTAGTCGAGCTTCTACCAGCTATAGCAATCGAAAGTTTGCCATATTCCTCGCTCTTAACAAAAGTTTCGAGCACATATTGGCCTGTAAAACCAGAGGCTCCGTAAACAATTAAATCGTAGCGGTTTGAAGAAGACATCTTTGATGTTTAGAAGTTAGAAAAATTTAGAAGAATTTCAAAAAAAAAATAAACTGAAAAAAAAGAAAAGTCAATTTGAGGGTGTTAAGGAAGAAGAGGACAAAGAAAGAGGCTTCGTTCTCGTCTTCCCCCCCCCCCATCCCCAACCTCTTTCTTCCTTATTTTTGGTACCCGATAACACGGCTGTCAAGGTTGAGAAATAAGTTGGGTTGAGTTTTGGAATTTTTCACGGGTCAGGTATCGGGTGCTCGTGACATCGCTGCTCGATAAGCATCAACATTTTTACACCTATATTTTTGTTTACTTTAATTAGAATCAAAAAGTATCCAAAGTAAAAAATCATGAATCAATAAAAGTGAAGAAATCATAGGGGGCATGGGGGAGGCGGACGTCTTTAAATTGAAGTTTTCCTAGTGGAGCCTTGAAAAGCTGATATTATTGATTTATGGCATAAATCGAGGAATGAGACTTCGTAGTTGGATTTTCTGAAAGGCTGTAAAAATCTAGAAATACTTGATCCTTCGGGTAATAAAACGATACTCTCACAAACTTTGAAAATTAACCAGCACCTCAAAATTCCTTAAGAATTCTAAAAATAATATAGAAAGGTTTGCACTTGACTTGGAAAATAAAACAAAAAAATAAAATGTTAAACCACATAAAGGAATGATTTTTATAAAAATAATCGGACCATCTCTCCTTCTCTTAAATGAAAAAAAAAGAAATAAAATACACTACTTAACGTTATTTGTAAATAAGGTAAAAGAAGAAAGAACACAAGCAAGCTATCTATTTTTACCACGTCCCTTACTTTATTGTTTGTTTTTTCTAGAAAAAGAAAGTTTTCGAAACAAGCAAAAAAGAAAATTTTTGAATTTAAAAATTGACGAAATTTAATTTGAGACAAAACGTCCAATTTTAGAGACAGTAGAGTCAAAGACATTTTACCGCTAACACATTTCGCCAATAAGGCTAGAAATTCTCATTTTGTCAACAAGACTGTTGTCAAAATGTAGGTTTTTAGCCTTGCTGGCAAAATGTCGTATTTGCAAAATGTCGTATTTTAATACAGTCTAAAGGTTAGAATTATAGAGAAAATGGGGGAGTTTCCGGAAAAGTTTGTCTGCTCCGGTTTTGTCTCTCTTATATATTAAGCACTCTACATTTCTCGTTCTTTGTCCATCACAAGCAAAATCTGGAAGAACGATGAATTTGCTGTAGCTTGTACTCTACTCTCCTCATTCTGGTCATAGAACAATGAAAATGAGAGAGCGAGTATGCGAGATAGCATGTATAAATAAGAGAGACAAACCTGTTGAGACACCTGAGCTTATTCGGCTCCCATATTTTACCAATAACACGTTTTGCCAATAAGGCTAAAAACTCTCGTTTTGTCAATAAGACTATTGACAAAATGTAGGATTTTAGCCTTACTGGCAAAATGTCGTATTTGGCAAAATGTCGTATTTCAGGAAACAACTTATTCTTAACAGATTTCGTTCCAAATTTGTTCCAATTTTCTCGATTGACTTTTAATTTATCTCTACAAGATTTCTACTTGTTTAATTAATCAAAATGAGTCTAGCTTCTGTTTGGAACATTGCTCGAAGTTTTTTTTTTTATTTCCAATTTTCCCCCAAAAAATTTTCAGGAGACATAGCAATTCCCAGAAATGCCCCAACAGAGTTACTCAAAGAGAAGCACAAAGAATTTCTTCTAGGATATAGCCGTGACAGGGATTCTTACGAATACATAATGGCGGAATATTTAAGAATGAGCGGAATGTACTGGTGTTTGACGGCGATGGACTTGCTTGGGGCGATTGAGGAAGTTGACAAGGAGTTCATTCTTGATTATATCCAAAAGAGTAAAAGAGAAAATGGGGGCTATGCCCCAGCTGAGGGACACGACCCGCACTTGCTGCATACTTTGAGCGCAATTCAAATAGCGATAACGCTTGGGAGGCTGGACATTGTATATTTTTGTTTTTTTAGATTTTATAGGGGTGGGTCTGGGGGTTAATTGATATCGTAACACTTTCTGAAGGGTTTGAGTTTGAATGTTGTCCGGATCGTGGGGAATGAAACCTAGAATTTGATACCGGAGATTTGTTGAGATAAGTCGGCGGGTTTGACTTCACTGCTAGACATGTCCATTGGAGGCACTTAACTTGAAAATTTTTTAAATATAAGGCCGTTGGTTTATCCTTCCCTGCAAGGGCGTGTCCGAAACGAGGTCAGTCATCCAATATGCTCCATTTGCCCCCTTTAATTTTTTGTTCAAGATGTCAAAATAGTGAATCGGGATAAATGAATAGGTTTAATGTTGTTGAGTCAAAACCTTCACGCTGTGTTTTTAAGTCCCCATGTCCAACCTCTGGGTATAGTCAGCAATAATTTATGGGCGGTCCGAAAGATTAAGTCGGGCATCGAATTTTGGCCCGAAAACGACTCGGTCACAACAACGAAAAAATGACTCGAACGTCGACCCGACTCGAAAACCCTAACCCCAGTCAGCAGCAATAAGGTCCCTTATTTCCATCTTTGGCCGTTAAATATTTCCTGAGTTTTAAAGTTTACATCCAGACGCCTTCGTTAATCTAAACTCAATCTCTTTTAGATTGACAAAGACAAGACAGTTTCCTTCATTAAATCATTACAACAAGAAGATGGCAGTTTTGTTGGTGATAGTGCTGGAGAAGTCGATACTCGTTTTTCATTTTGTGCACTAGCCTCACTTCACTTTTTGGAATGTTTGGATGCTGTAAATATTCCAAAAGCTATTGACTTTATCAAAAGTTGCTACAATTTTGATGGAGGTTTTGGAACTAGACCAGGCTCTGAAAGTCATTCTGGACAGGTTTTTATTGGATTTTAGGCTTTCAACTTTTATTTTCTCCAGGTTTATTGCTGTGTTGGTGCTCTAGCTATTTGTGGATGTCTTGAATTAATTAATGTTGAAAGAACAGCTGAATGGTTGGCAGAACGTCAATGTCCTTCAGGAGGGTTGTGTGGACGACCAGAAAAGTTACCTGATGTTTGTTATTCATGGTTTGTTGACTACTTTTATTTCCTTACTTTTTACCTCGAGGACCTTTGGGGTTAGGCCTTTGCAATTTTTGCTTAAAGTTAATGTGATAATTTGCTTCGATTAACCTTCCTTGCACTAGCGATTTCGATGTTTGTCGAATCATTTACGCAAATATAATCTACAGGACCTAACATTATCATGTTACTTAACCACCCTTTTATGTTACGCTTCCAATCTTGAATAGTGTTTTTCATTCCGAATCGACTCGAAGAATCGCGGGCGATTGTTTGACTTTCTTGTGAACTTCCATTGAACTTTTTTATGTTTGGGACCCACGCCACAGGGTCTAGGGCTATTCCAAAATACAATTTTCTTTTGATTGGACGCATAAAAGTTCATTAGACGCATAAACTAGACCAGCGCCTAATCGCTTTTGTTTCGAATAGTCGAAGTTTTCGTTTCCTTTGAAAAAATTTCTGCAGTGCTTTTAGCAGCGCTTTGTATCTTCCCTTTGACAAACTTATAATAATTTTTAATCTATAATTTTCAAGGTGGGTCCTTTCTTCACTGGCTATTCTCAACCGGCTTCATTGGGTCGACAAAACTTCACTCGTTCGTTTTATCCTAGCTAGTCAGGATGACGAATCTGGTGGAATAGCAGATCGTCCAGAAGATATGTCTGATCCATTTCACACAGTTTTTGGTTTGGCAGGACTCAGTTTGTTGGGATATGAAGGTTTAGAACCTGTAGATCCCGTTTTTTGTATGAAGAAAGAAAGGCTTGGTTCTTTTTCGTTTATTTGACATAAATATTTTTTGACAAATCAATAAAAGTTTTTTTTTAATTTTAACATCGTTTAGCTATTTTTGTTTCAACAACATTTTTTATTTTATTTGTTTTTTCTAATTTTTATTTTTTTTAACTTTTACATTTTAATTTCAAAAAAATATTGGGATTTTGTATTTTTGAACTCCTTATCAAGTGCGTAGCCGGGGGGGGGGGCAGGCGGCTTTTGGGGCTAAAGCACCACCCCTCCCCCACGAAATGGGAAAAAGGGAAGAATTTGAACTCCTCATCAAGGGCATAGCCAGGGGGCTTCGAGGGCGTAGCAAGGGTGGGTCTTCTAGGGCTAAAGCTACCCCTCCCTCCACGAAATGGGAAAAAGGGAAAAATTTGAGGAGGGGATTGAGTAGGGTTGTTCCTCGTCCCCGAAAGTCGGGGAATTTGAGAGACCCCCCCCCCCTCCCTTAAAATCACTCCTCCCCCTTAAAATCGACCCTCTGGCTACGCCCTAGCTCCTCATTAGAGATCACACTGGGGGGGTCGTATGAGATCTCAATTCTCAAAAACACAAAGATTTGTCATACGAGAATCGAGATCCCGAAAATCTCGATGCTCGATAACCAAGATTTTTTCCGAGAGATTGAGTAGGTCTCTCTCTCAATCTCTAATCATTGTCATTAACGTCTATTTTTAAATATTTTTTCAAAAATCTTTTTTAGATAATTTTTGTTTATTCTAAATTTCTTCAAATTAAAAAAAAATGGGAAAGATTATGAAACCTGGACGAGTTGTGATCATGCTTAATGGTCGATTTGCTGGACGCAAAGCTGTTGTGATCAAAAGTTATGATGATGGTTCTTCTGAGAGGCCTTATGGACATGGATTGGTTGCTGGGATTGACAAGTTTGTGTTTCTTTTTAATTTTTCGGATTTTCTTCCCTTTCCATATGATTCTTAAGCAGGAGAAAGCATTAAATTAATTCTAGCACCGGTTTTGGGAACATTTAAGGGTGATTAAGCCGGAAAAGGTCTGTGAATTTGGTGCTAGGCAAAATGTGGCAAAACCAATAGGGTTGGGGTTTTCGAGTCGGGCCGAAATTCAATGCCTGACTCGATCTTTCGGATCGGGCCCCCAACCCTAAAAACCAAGCTAGATTTTTGCTTGATAAATTTTAGTAATATACGGATACGTTTTGGGCTTTTATTTTCGATTTTCCTATCCCTATTCAAGTCTCAGTTTTACCCCAAGGTTATAGTGAAGGCTAACCTATTGCCTAATTTTGGATATTTTTGGTAGGATTTTATTAATTTCTCTTATTTCAACAGATATCCACGTAAAGTAGTCAAACGAATGGGCAAAAAACAAATTGCAAAACGCATAGCAATGCGTCCATTTGTCAAAGTTACTTCTCTTCAACATTTGCTTCCAACTCGTTGTACTTTTGAGGCTGAATTTGACAAAAGTATTGTTAACAAGGAGTCGATTAAAGGTTTAAAATTTTGTTAATTTCCGGTTTATTCCTTCCTCAATTTCGTTATGGTTTCTGTCTCATTTAGTCAGTCAATAAATAATTTAAAATTTATTTGGAGTTGTGGGGAGAAAGAATGGTATAGTCTTGTAATACCTTAAGCTTGAAATACCTAGCATTGTAATACGTAAAAGCTTTTTCAAGCTTTTTTCCCAGACTTGGTAATGGACATGGATGTTGGTATCCATATCCGGATATTTACGGCGGATACAGACGTATATCCGCGGGCATTTTAACTTATCTGTATCCATATCCGTAGCCATTACCAAGCCTGTTTTTTCCAAGGTTAGATATTTCAAGGTCTTTGTGGCTTAGGTATTTTAAGCTTTAAGTATTATAAGACGTTCGGGGGAGAACTTCATGTTTTAATAATTATGAAAGAATTTTGTGTTTCAAATTTTCTGTTTCTATTATTGACTGATTGATTGACTGAACTCTTTTCCATGGGAAGATTGTTGTGGAGGAAGTCTTATTATTGGGGAGGAAGTTCTCGTTTAGAAGAAAGTCCTTACTAAGGTTGTTAGTTCAACAGTCTCTTTGGGTAACCGAACCGAGCTGGGAATCTTCGGGTGGTTTTGGTTCGGGTTGAGACCGACAGCACTTATGTAAGGCTTGCCACCCTGACCATTTACAGAAACAAAATTTTGAGGACGGAATAATCGGACTTTGTAACTTTTAAAATAACCTCCATTTCAATTTTAGATCCAAAATCAAAACGTAAGGCAAAGTTGCACATCAAAAAAGAATTTGAAACGCAATATAAGGCTGGGAAGAGCAAATGGCTTTTTACTAAATTGCGTTTCTAAGGAATTTTGAAGGGGAGATGAAAAGAAATGTTAAGGAAAAAGAGAGGTTTATATGTTGATTATTTTAATTTGTTTTCTTTTTTGGGCGGAGAAAGGTGTTAATGATTTTAAAAAAATTGTTAAAAATTTAATCAAAAAATTTTTTTATTTTTTAAATAGTCTCAAGCTATTTTGTACTTGATTTAAATTTTAAAATTGATTTTTTGATAGGGATTTATTAGTGGTGTTCCTTTTTGGGGTCTATTGTAAGATAGATAATCTCTTGGGAAATAGGTTTGGGCTAAATTTACAGAAAAAGTGAAAAATAGTTTTCGCATTCAGTGACTCTTATGTTAGCTTTTGTTTTCACTTCAGAAAATTTGAAGAATCTCAACTAGGGCCCGAACTATTGGGAGCTGTACCAGAGATTTCGAAAAATCTCAATTCACGATAGCCTAGATTTATTAAAAGAAGGGTAAAATTCCCTACCCTTTTCCAAGGTTTTGAGGGAAAGGATAGGGAATTGGGAAATGGTAAATTTGGGACAGGATTGGAAAATGGAAGGGATTGGGATAGGATTAGGATTTTGCCTTCCCTAATCCAAACCATTTTTGGACCTTTAATTACAAACACTATTTACAGCCGTGTCTATTAGTGATCGAGCTGGGTCAGGACCAAGGCTGGGTTTTTCTTGTACCCAGAGTCCAGGCCCAGGCATTTCTTTGACCTTCCTGGATTTTTCCTGGACTACAGGCCAAGGATCCGGCCCAGGCCACTAAATAAAACCCAGAGTTCAAGTGACAGGCCCATGTTTTTCAAAAATCTCGATTTCTGGTGTCTACTCTGAATTTTTTTTAATTCTGGGTTCCAAATGGCAATGCTCCATAGATATGAGATTCCCTTATCTTCCATTTTTAAACAAAAATTGTTTCAGAATTTAAATAAAATGTCATATTTTGGCGAAGAAAATCTCGAATTTGCTTTAATTGAAGAAAACTCGTCGTGTGGGCAAAACAGTACAAGTCAAAATGAGTTAAATAATATTGACGAGAATGAAATTGAACAAGAAAAGACTTCAATATATGATGTTGAAATGAGTGGAAGTGAGGCAAAATTGAGTGAAAATGAAGCATTAATGGATTCTAATGAAATACAAATTGTTTGTACAAGTGAAACAAATGAAGAAGAAGAAGAAATTGTTAAAAGGTATTTATTTTTAATTTAGTTGTCTATGGGTAGGATGAAGTCAGGTTAAGTGTAAGGGGTAAGATTTCATCGTAAAGATGAGCGTTGACTAGGATTTTGGGTGGAAGTTTTGCTGGACAGGTTTCCAGGGCTTTTTTCCGGTCACAAAGTCAAAACCTATTTCTTTCGTGGGCATTTTCCTGTCATTTTTAGGCGTCCTAAGGCTCATGGATCCATGGTCCAGGAAATTCCTACAAGCTTAACAAATCGCACCCAAAATCCAGTCCCCCAATACTCGATAATAGAGAGGTTAGAGGTCTTAAAGATTCCATCCTCCCTCTCTGTGCATTCCAGAGGTGTGGCTTTTCGACGAATTTTCGTCTTTTTTTTTGGTGTTTCACCTTACGTCTTTTAAAATTTTTTTGGCACACCCCCGGTGCAGTCTTATGACTGCGAATTCATTTTTCATTAGCTGGACATTATGGGTGTCTTCCGTGATTTAATAACTCCTTGCCCTTTTTTTGCAAAAATAAATTTTCTTTTAAGTTATGAACTCCCCATGACAGAAGACTTGTTTGAACAGTGCAACACTTCAATCCTTCCCTACAAAAGAAAAATCCACCCATTGGGGCCTCTCTCCTCTGAACTATTAAAACGGGTCCGTGAACGTGCTTCAATCTCAAATATGTCTAAATTTAATTCAGCCTTCCACAGGCCTTGTGGATTGCCGGAAGATGAAAAAAGCAAGGAAAACCAAAGGAATGATTCTAACGAAATTGTTGAGTGGGGAGTAAACTCAGCCTTATTAGAATCTTTTCTAACAGAAAATTAATTGTAATTTTATTTAAAAATAATTTTTGAGTGAATTTATTGAAATTTACTTTTAGTTCAAAATAAAAATTGTTTTCCCTCATGGGGGTTCGAACCTTTAAGGGTAAAAAAGGGAACGTTTCCGACTTAGCCACGCTGACATTTAATTTCTCCGAGGGAGATTTTGTTGCTAGAGTGAGGCGAGGGTGGATATTGGACTCAAAAAAGAGTTCCGGAATTTGAGAAACGGGAATTTTAGGGACTCCTGGATTAATCCCGCGGCGCTCCGACACGGGCACAGTGATCCATTTGCACAGTAAGACAATTGCACATTGGGCATCTGCACAGTGGACAATTGCACAGTAATTTGTGGTTAAGTGCATTTGTGTTAGACTTTCTGATAAGTTTTTTAATAATAAAATGGTTTTTCTTAAACAAAAACAATTTTCCCTGTTCTATAAGCAATTTTTCCCGTTGTTGGAAAAGTTGTTCGCGGGAGACGAAAACTCGCAGAGATATAGGCTCCCGAAAATCGAAAAACAATATAGTAAACCAAGCGGTTTTTTGGGGTAAAAAATTCGAAGATGCAAATTATAGCTCATTCGAAAGAGCTTTTTGAGTTGAGTCGGCTGACACCAAAATCATCTTGATTGGATGATTCTGAACGAAGTTATGACCTATAGGTGAATGAGCCTTGCATTTATTTGGAGTGTTTCGCGACTAAACAGGCGTTTTGCGAATAAATGGGTAGGTCGTTTTGCGAATAAACAAGACTTTACTGTGCAATTGTCCACTGTGTAATTGTCCTCTGTGCAAAAGTCTTACTGTGCAAATGGATCACTGTGCCCAAGTCGTGTCACCTAATCCCGCAGGTTCCCTCCCGTTCGATTTCTAAAGCTCAACCCGTTCGGTAACCCGGGAAGGCATTTTACCGACCTCTATTTGTTGTAGAGGTCGGAAAATCGTATTCACGGGATCCCGCACGCGGGAGAAACTTCTAAAAACGTCTGCGGGACGGGATCCCGCGGGAATAATCCCGCAAATCGAAAAAATAATTCCCCGCATCTCTAATTTGTTACCACTTTTTTTGTTACCAAAATGATTTTCTTCTTTCCAATTTTCTATCAAAATCTCAAATGTAAAAATGTCCAGAAGCCAAAAATGACATTTTGTCGAATTAAAATTTTTAATTTTTTGTATTTTGTTTTATTCTTGTTACATTTTTTCAATTGAAATTTTTTTTTTGATTTTTTTCTTTATTATATTTAAAATTAATTTCAATTTTCAGTAGTGGTTGTTTTAAAAAAGCTTTTATATTTCAAATAAATAATGGGCCGTGTTCGTACCAAAACTGTCAAGAAAGCTTCTCGTGTTATTATTGAAAAATACTATACACGCTTGACTTATGATTTTCATGTGAACAAACGAATTTGTGAGGAAATTGCTGTTATTCCAAGCAAACGGATGCGTAATCAAATTGCTGGGTATTTTTTTTTGTTTTTTTTAATTTTGAGGGGGAGGGGGGGGGGGGTTTATAGAAATGTGTTGCTGGAGGGAAGGGCATGACAACTTTTTTTTCTGAGGCGAGATAACTTTGAATTTAGGGAGGCCAAGTTTAATTCTCTTCTATCCTGTGCCAACTAAACTAAAATTGGGGTGAATTGTTGATGTAGGAAGCAGAAAAGGATAGAAATGAAAATGGTGGCCCTTAAATGTCCAAAATTTTCTGGAGTCTTTTAGGTTTTGTTCACGTCCTATTAATTTTTACTTGTAGTGGCTCATCTCTAGAGGATTTGAAAATATTATTTGGAGGTATTTGAGCCGCCACAGACAACAATTAACCGGTTATGAACACCCTTTAGTTTTTAGAACATTAATTCAGTCCGAAGCCAGGGGTTGAATTTTTCCCCATTGCCCCTCCCCCCTTTCCCTCACCCGGAAAAAATCATAGCTACAGCCCTGTCTTAGTTTCTAGCGAAGGATTTGCTTCATGTTTGTCCTCAATTCCCCTCAAATTTCGGCCTTTCATTATTTTCTAGAACGTAAAAATCAGCAAAATTTTGTGTCCAGCTATATGGTTTTTTAAAATCTTTTCAGGTTTATCACCCATTTGATGAAACGTATCGAAAAGGGACCTGTCCGTGGAATTTCTATTAAATTGCAAGAAGAAGAGCGTGAGCGTCGTGATAATTGGGTTCCAGAAGTTTCCTATCTTGATGCTTCTCAACATCCAACTATTAGTGTTGATCAAGAGACTAAGGAGATGGTTGATTATTTGGTTAGTTTTTTTGGTTGTTTTGAATTGATTAGGTTAGTTGAAGGGGGTTTAAAAAAAGGTTTCTTAAATTCCTATTAGTTCTTTAGTTTTTCTGCTTTTAAAAAATTGTCCTGCCCAATGGTTCTACTTCGAGTCGTCCAAATAAGAAAATTTTTCAAGACTCGAACTAAAGGTCTGGGACGTTTCTAGTTATAATCCCTTTTAATTGAATAGCAATAGGGTAGTGGTGTGGGAAGTTGAGTGTAATGTCCACTTGTTAGATGTGCTTTTTGGCTGTAATCTAGGGTTGCTCACTACTGGTTATTAACCGGTACCATAGGATATTCGCAGTTATCATCGCCGGGTTTTCGGTTCGGTTAACCAACCTTGAACAACCCTATTTTAACTTTTGTAAGGAGTAATTCATTAAAATTTTTTTAATTTTTTAGCAACTCAATTTGCCTGTTGACGTGAAAGGACAGCAACAGCAAGGTCAAGCGCAAGGTGGTGGTGGTCAACAACAGCAGCAACAACCTGCTGGTGCTGCTCGTCAATAAATGAATTTTTTTGAGGATTTAAGAAGTAAATGAGGGAAGTATTGCTGTTGAAATCTTGGAAAAATATTAAAAATTAATTAAAAAGTATATTTTTCTGTTGTTAAAAATAAATGTTGTTGACGAAAAAAAATTTTTTTAATTGAATATTTAATTAATATTTATACGTAGTACCTATTTTTATTTGAAAAAACATTTTTTTCTCATTTACCCACCTTTAATTTGGTTAATGGAAAAATTGAAATAAGGGGACAGATTTTAGTATACCTCAAAATCTTGTTTTAAGATTTCCCAAGGAAAAAATTTTTTAATGACCTAGTGACTAGAGAGCGAGCTTGGCCTGGACCAAGGCCTGGATTTTTCTTGTACCCAGAGTCCAGGCCCAGGCATTTTTTGACCTGCCGTTGTTTTTCCTCGGTCTGGTTATTTCCTGGACTACAGGCTCAGGATCCGGCCCAGGTCAATAAATCAAACCTGGAACAGGTCCAGGCTTTTCAAAAGTCTCGATCTCTACTAGTAGCCAACCTAATAAAAAATTAGGTTGACCAGTGTATGGGAAAGGTTGTCTAACGATAAATGGTACCCTTCGATCTAAGCTACACCTTGTCATAAGATAAGTCTCTTATATTGAATTATCTTAAAAAGAGGTTCGACTAATAAACAAGATTTTTGTTTTAGTCCGCAAATTTTGTCCGCAAAAATTAATTTTTTTCTAAAAAGCGTTTTTAGATGCTCAAATATTTATTAAAAAATAATTATCGTCGGTCAAAAACTTTACATATTTGTCATTCTTATTTTTCAATTCAAAATGTGAATAGAACAATTACAAGGTTTTTTAATTAAAATTAATTTTTAAAAATATTTTTTAATAGAACTTTAAAATCGGTGGCTTCCAAGCCTTTACAAATTGTCAATTTTTGTGTATTGCGGTGTTACAGATGGTTTTTAAAGATGCGAGTATTGGTAAATATATTTTTTTATGGGATGGGGCTAATTGTAAGATGTAGAGATTGAGCTGGATCTAGGGTATAATCTTGAAATGCCAGGGTCTTGAAATACCAAAACTCCACGGCATGGTATTTCAAAGGCTTTTGGTGGCTTGGTATTTCAAGTTCTTGGCATTACAAGACGTACCGGGATCCTTTTTCTTTAACTCAAGGCCCTTGATCTGCTCAAGGACCTAAAATCAGGGTCAAGTTTTTTTTTTGAAAATCTCGATCTCTAATTAGAAGAGGGGATGGTTAGAAGGGCGAAGAGGAATTTTATGATAGTTTAACGAATAATTTCACTCCAAAATGTATTCAAATATTTTAATATTTACTTGGGGAACTGGGCTCTTTTGATGGCTGCTGGTACGCTTTTTTGATCTATTCCATGAGTGCACAGGGTGAGAAAAGAGTTTGGGTTTGGAGCAGGTTTCCGACATTTTTTTTGATTGAGTTTTGAGACGAAAAATTCCGAGTTTCGGTTAATTCGTGAAATTTTTGGTCTGTTCTGGTTGTCTATGTAATTTTACAAAATGGTTTACAAGACAAAGAAACCAATAACTCACCAAAGGTCAGATCCATAGAGAATAGATGGGAGGAAATTATTCATTAAATGAGCAAGAAATTCTTCTTCTCCCTACTGATTTGAGATCGAGATTTTCAAAAAAAACCTTGACATTAATTTTAGGTGAGGACCTTTTGGCCAGATCAAGGATCTGAGTCCATCAACCATCATAAGGGTCACTTGCCCAGTTAACCAAAAAATGAACATGAAATAATTTTCTTTTACAATTTTCAATAATATTTCTTTCTAATTTTTCCAGTATGGACACTTTTCATTTTTCGATCAAGATGTAGTCAACTTCTTCTATCACAAAGACAAAGTTAACCCAAAAGAATGGTGTATTGCCTACAATTCTCCATTATCAAATTTATTTTCAAATTGTTTCCGCTTCATTTTTTGCTTTATTATTGTGGTTACTACACACATGTTTTTTGATTATAAAAAGAATGGAAAATTTACTGATGAATTTAGTATTAAATTACATCGAGATATGCTTCTAGTAAGGTTTTTTATGTTAAAATTTGAAATATTTTGGGGGTAGAGGGTTCAAAAAAATTTTTTCTAGGGTTCAAAAAATTTTTCTAGGGGTTTAAAAATTTTCTATTTTGTGTATTTACCTCTTGGAAGCTTTATCTATCCATTTTAAAAATAAAAAACCCGCAAAGGGTTCGAACCTTGACCTCTTAATCTTTCGAGTATCCCACTTAACCACAGAGTAAAAATTTATTTTGATTGGAACCAGATTTGGGTGGAATTAAAAACCCCCTTGGAAGCTTTAATTATCTTTTTAAAAATAAAAAAACCCGCAAAGGGTTCGAACCTTGACCCATTAATTCGACGCGTATCTTACTTAACCACAGGGTAAAAAATTTTTGTTTTGTTTCGAATCAAAACCCTTGGACCTTTAATAATTAATCCTTTTAAAAATAAAAAAAACCCGCGAAGGGTTCGAACCTTGACCCCTTAGCCCATCTCATATCCCACTTAACCACAGACGAAAAATTTTTTTGTTTTGTTTGGAACCAAAAACCTCCTTAAAAGCTTCAATTATTTTTTTAAATAAAAACCCCGCAAAGGGTTCGAACCTGGACCCCTTAATCCGACGCGTATCCAACTTAACCACAGAGTAAAATTTTTTGTTTTGTTTGGAATACAAAAACCTCTCCATTTTACAAAATAAAAAATTTCAAAAAAATTTCAGCTTGGCATATTTGGCTATTTTATTATCTTTGCAACTTTCCTCTCTCTCTTTATTTTGCTCAAATTGAATTCTTTAAATATTTCGAGAATATATTTGAACAGAAATGATCCAAACAAATTACTTTTGAGGGCTAATCGATTCATTTTGCTCAGGCCGTTGGTATAATTTTTTTATTAAATTAATTTAAAAATAAAAAAGGAGGAATTTAAAAGTTGTGGCCTTTCCATTTTTTAGGGTATTTTTTGCGTGTCTGGTGAAAACGGCAGTGGTGAATTGGGCAGTGAGTAATTTGGGCAGTGAGTGATTTGGGCAGTAAACGTTTTTTAAAAAATAATTTTACACGCAAAAACAATTTGAGTAACGTTAGAAGAATAATTTTGAGTGATTTGGGCAGTAACTTAGAATTTTTAAATTATTTACACAAAAATACAAAGAACCGCACCCCTTTTTCATTTTGATAACGTTGTAGGTACAACATTACCCTTTGTTGAAATCGTCTTGGTCTCAATTTTGACGTTTCCCTAATTGATAAGTAAATTTAAGATGCGAAGAAGTTATAAATAAGTATACATATATTTTAAGTTTTTATTTTTCAAAATAGGTCAAAAATATCTGAAAAAGGTCAAAATAGTTATGGAAAAATATGTTCAAATTTTGGATTTACTTTAAGTTTAATAAAAATTTCCGGAATTTTTCTTATCAATTTTAAATAATTTAAAAATTATAAGTCTAACGTTACTCAAATTGTTTTTGCGTGTAAAATTATTTTTTAAAAAACGTTTACTGCCCAAATCACTCACTACCCAAATTACTCACTGCCCAATTCACCACTGCCCAAATCACACGGCACCATTTTTTGTGGACTGAAACTAAAAAATTTTCAGTAAATTACGAGTGTGAAAAAGAGTTAAAAAATTTTTTGAATTTTATTTTTACGTTAAAAATAAAATAAATAAAAATCGCTGACTGTTTACTTAGAATTAATGTTTCGGTCCCGCAAAAGGTTTGTCCGCAAATGTCGTCATTCAAAATTTTTCTTTTAATTTTAATTAATTCTGATTTCAAGTTTATTTTTATTTTCTGATTTTTTATAATCAGAGTTTTAATAAATCAGAATTTTATAAACAAAATTTTAATAAATCAAAATTATTAAAAATCAGAATTTTTAGAAATCAGAATTTTTAGAAATCAGAATTTTAATAAATCAGAATTATTAAAAATCAGAATTTTTAGAAATCAGAATTATTAAAAATCAGAATTTTAATAAATCAGAATTATTAAAAATCAGAATTTTTAGAAATCAGAATTTTAATAAATCAGAATTATTAAAAATCAGAATTTTAATAAATCAGAATTATTAAAAATCAGAATTTTAATAAATCAGAATTATTAAAAATCAGAATTTTAATAAATCAGAATTATTAAAAATCAGAATTTTTAGAAATCAGAATTTTAATAAATCAGAATTATTAAAAATCAGAATTTTTAGAAATCAGAATTTTAATAAATCAGAATTATTAAAAATCAGAATTTTAATAAATCAGAATTATTAAAAATCAGAATTTTTAGAAATCAGAATTTTAATAAATCAGAATTATTAAAAATCAGAATTTTTAGAAATCAGAATTTTAATAAATCAGAATTATTAAAAATCAGAATTTTAATAAATCAGAATTATTAAAAATCAGAATTTTTAGAAATCAGAATTTTAATAAATCAGAATTTTTAGAAATCAGAATTTTAATAAATCAGAATTATTAAAAATCAGAATTTTAATAAATCAGAATTATTAAAAATCAGAATTTTTAGAAATCAGAATTTTAATAAATCAGAATTATTAAAAATCAGAATTTTAATAAATCAGAATTATTAAAAATCAGAATTTTAATAAATCAGAATTATTAAAAATCAGAATTTTTAGAAATCAGAATTAATTAAATAAACTAGAATTATTATTTAAATAAATTTTAATTCTTTTATTTATTTTTCAGACACATTTAAACAGAAAAGACGTCCATCTTCGTTATAATTTTGATGATAATCGTTTAGTCGAACTTTTGAGAATTTTTATTCACGGCTCTGCAAAATTTGGGCATTTGGGGAATTATGGATTATTGGATGATGGGTTTAGAAATAATTTATTTAGATCTTTTGTTTTGAACGAAACTGATAATATTCCGAGAATGTTGGATAAATTAGATTTGGTGGAAAGTATAAACAAATTAGAAAATAAAAAGAAGATTGGGGGGAACTAATTAGGTGGGGGAAGTAATAGGCCCAAAAAGAAGAGATTTTATTTAAAAGAGATTTTATATCACTCGTGCTTTCAAAAGTAATTGATCCCTGGATATGAAAATTCCCAAAAAAAATTTTTTTGGGAGATAGAGAAAAAAACCTCATTTTATTTAAGGTATATGCCCCAAAAAATAAATTAATTTTTCAATTTCTAAGGTCAAAAAAATTTTTTTAATTAATTTTTGGGGTGTTGAGAGCCTTTATATAGGTATTTAGATTTGTAATAATTATCAGTTGACAAGTCTACCCTTCCTTGTGGTGAAAATAATTTTTTTTGGGGGGGGGGGGGGGAGAGAGAAAAATAAATCTCATCATTTTATACTCGAAAAATTAAATAAATTTTTCAATTTTAAGGTTAAAATTTTTTTTGAGAGAGAAATCTCATTTTTACCCCCAAAAATTGAATAATTTCTCTTAATTCTAAGGTAAAAATTTTTTTTAATTTTTGGGGTGGATATTGAGAGCCTTTATTAATTTGTAAGAACTATCAGTTGACTAAGTTTACCCTCCCTTTATTATTAGAGATTCGAATTTTTATTTTTCCACCCTCTAAAAGTCTTAAAATGAGGCCAAAAAATTTTTAAAATTAATTTTCCCCAATTTACTTTCTATTTTCTAATTGTTTATGTACAATTTATAGGCTAAATTGTTTTTATTTTGTTTTAATTTTTTTGTTTAAAATTTTTTTATTTTTTACAGAAATTATTTGGCTATTTTAATGCCTTTTATATATTTTTTAATTTGTTTTTGCCTAATTTTTAATTAAACTTTAATTACAAGTCCAAAAGATCACCAGAATATATTTAATAAACTTGGAATATAAAAATCAGAATTTTTATAATTCCGCCTGCTAACTTATAAATAATATAAATCAGAATTTTAAACTTGAATTATTCTATTGTATTCTGATTTCAAGTTTATTTTTTTTTAATTCTGATTTTCTGTTTTTCTTTAATTACTGTACTATTTCTCTAATTTCAAGTTTATTTTCTGATTTTAATTTTAAATTATTCTGATTCAAGTTTATTTCTTATTCTGATTCAAGTTTATTATATTCTATTTTTATAATTCTTGGTTCAAGTTTATTTTTATAATAAATTCCAAGTTTATTAAAATAATTCTGATTTTAAGTTTATTTTATTTTCATTCAGGATTCAAGTTTATTTTCTGATTTTAAGTTTAAGTCATTCTGATTAAAGTTTATTATATTCTATTTTAAAATTCTGGTTTCAAGTTTATTTTTTATTTAAAAATTCTGATTTTGTATTTTTCTTTAATTTATATACTATTTCTCTAATTTCAAGTTTATTTTCTGATTTTAAGTTTGTTTATTATATTCAAGTTTATTATATTCTATTCTTTATATGTAATTCTGGGATAAGTTTATTTTAATTATTCTGGTGATCTTTTGGGTGTCTTTTTTAAAGTTTATTTTCTCCCCCATTGTTTTCACACTTCCGCAATTAGAAAAAATGAAAGTTTTATGCAAAAAAATGCTCAACCAACCGGAATTGAAAGCGCATTTTTTTCATCTCTTTTCTTATAAATTCTGAGAGAGTGACTAAATATAATTTATTGATTTTTTAGTTTGTGAAGATATTTTTCTTCGTTAATTTGCCCTATTTTTTGCGCGTTTTTGACACATTTTTTAATAAAATTTTTTAATTTAAAGGCAAATGGGAAAAATTTTGACTAAACTTTTTGGAAAGAGAGAATTACGGGTATTGATGCTTGGATTGGATGCGGCAGGGAAAACAAGTTTGGATTTTTTGTAATTTTAAAAGGGGTTTGAAGTCGAAAGGGAGGTGGGTGGGGGAGGGTGTGAAGTGTTTTTGGAAATGTTTTTTGGCTTGTAGGGTTCCTTGGGGGAGTGGATGGGGATTTGTAATGTTTTTAGAAATGTTTTTGGTTTTGTAGGGATTTTTGGGAGGTTTTGGGGATTTAATTTCCGTACGTCCTCACCATTCTCAAGTACCAAAAAAGGGTTACTCTAGTAAATGTCGGATGTGACCAGCTCTGCTTTTTTGACCATTTTCGGTTTTTGGGGAAGGAAATAAGGATGGGGAGGAGAGGGAGGGTTAGAATTTTGGACTAACTAAAAGTGGTTTTTGCAGGTATTCTGTATAAACTGAAACTTGGCCAATCAATTAAATCACTTCCAACGGTCGGCTTTAATGTGGAGACTGTTACTTATAAAAATATTAAATTCAGTGTGTGGGTATGTTTTTCAGGAATTTTTATTTTTTAAATAAATCTTTTTAAGGATGTTGGAGGTCAGGAGAAAATAAGGCCCCTTTGGAGGCATTATTATGTGGGCACTCAAGCTTTAATATTTGTTGTAGATTCTGCAGATGTTGACAGGTTTTTTATTTTGGGGTTATTTCTAATTGTTTCCGTTCCTCCCACAGACGGAAATCGGGCTGTATCTAGGTTTAGGCCTGGATTTTTCTGGTAGACCCAAGCATAGGGCAGGCATTTGTGGGCATCTTTTTTTGTCTGCGGGCGTCCCTGGATGTTATTCTGGGATCTTTTCAAGCTCAACGAATCAGGCCTAAAGTTTAATTAAAGTAAGGGAATAGAGGAAAGTGAATCTTAAAAGGGACTATTAACCTAATAAACCAAGTCTATTTAGAAGACAGGTCTTGTTAAGGTAAATGGTTTCCAAAAATTTAATTTTTAAATTAAGGATTGATGAAGCTAGGCATGAATTGCACAAAATTGTTAATGACCGTGAAATGCGGGAAGCAGCAATTTTGATATTTGCGAATAAACAAGACTTGCCTGGTGGTTGGTAATTTTTATTTTTAACTTTGTTTTAAAAGAGTGGGGAGGAGTTATATTAAATGGTTAAATGAGTGGTATATGACTGTGAATCCTTTATGACTAATTATGATTTACTCGTTTAGAAATTCTATGTTTTCCTATCCCTTTCGGGTTCTCCTGTTTTTTTATTCTCAAAAAGTTGGAAAAATTGAGAATTTAGAGGTTGAGAGCTTTTAAGATTAGAAGACGGGGGCTAGCTTTGATTAACATTTCCGACATAATCCTACCTAGGTTTTATAACTAGGGTTGCCGTTTTCGAGTCGGCCTAAGGCATTTTTTCGGGCCTAACTTCATCGAGTCGTGCCGGTACGAGTCATTCTCGGGCCAAGTATCTTAGACCCGACTCGATCTTTTGGTCCGAGTCGGTCCATTTTGGCAACCATATTTATTTTAAAAATTCCATGTTTTCCCATCCTAAAAAATTCCATGTTTCCCAGCTATGCCTTTTAAATTATCAAAAGATGGACATTAGATCCCACTTGTTTCTGTTTCCTTTCGAAATAATTTTCATAAGAATTTAGACATTTTATTCATTAAAAAATCAAAAATTTTTCCAGCATTACAACCAACCGAATTACAAGAAAGGTTAGGTTTAGGAAGACTTCATTCTCGTAATTGGTATGTTCAACCTTCATGTGCAATTGGTGGAAGTGGTCTTTTTGAAGGATTAACATGGCTAGCATCAAATTGTAAATGACTACTTAACAACGTCAATAAATTTTTAAAATTTTATTTTTCTTTTTAAAAAATTCAAAAAAGCATTTGAGATTAAAAATTTTAAGCAACTGTGAATGAAAATACTTTTTGTGGTGGAATATGTCCTTGCTGAAATTAAAAGATTTTTTTTTGTGAGAGAGAATAGAGGAGGTTTGTTTGATTTTTTTGTGATTTTTATTTAAAAATATAAGTTTTGGCTCATTTTTATTATATACAAAATAATTTTAAAAGAAAAGAAAATTATTATTTATACATTAAGTCAATTGTTTAATATTATTTCTCCCTTTTTTTGAAATTAAAACAAATTTCAAATTTATTAGAGTTTTATAATATCCGGTGTGTCCTTGTAAGAATTGAAATTTTGAAACTGAAAAAAAATTAAAAGTTAGAGAAAAAAATTAAAAAAAAAATTTTTTTTTGAAACTCTAATGAATTTAATAAACAAATTTATGCTATTTATTTCACTTGTTTTGTTTTAATGGAAAAAAATTTTTTTAACACTTAAATTGTTTTTACTTGAAGAAAAAAATTTTTTTGGCTCGAAAATAATTTTTTTCGAAAGTTTTTTAAGTGTTAAAAAAAATTTTTTTTAATACCTATATACATAAATTAAAAATAAAATTGCCTAAAATAAATTTATTTGTCTACTCTAAAAATACTATATTAAATTTTTGTTGTCTTTTTTCTAAATTTTTTTTTTAAATTTTTGTGCCCTTCAAAAATATTTTTTTTTAAAATTGTTTTTCTTTAAAATTAGGAAAATTAATTTTTTTTTAATTTTCCCCATAAATTTAACTTAAAGAAAACATATCCCTTATGATTCGATGAATAAATGAATAAAAAAAATTTTTTTTTATTATTTTTTTTTTAATTTTTATTTGTTAATTTAACAAATTTATTATTTTTATTTTTTTTATTTAATTTAAAAAAATTTTTTTTAGAATTTTAAGCTAATTATTTTTTGCTTCATTCAAAGTTGATTGTTCTATTCTGGTATATACGTGGGTTTTATTTTTAATTAAAACTTTAATTAAATTAAAAATGCTTTGTTGAAGCAAAAGGGAGGGAAATGCTTCAAGTTTTGAAACAGGCTGAATTTAAAGTTTAAAACTTTAATTTTTTAATTCTGATTTGTAAAGTGAAGCAGGCGGAATTATTTTTAGTCGCAGCAGGCGGAATTAAATAGAAATTCTGATTTGTATAAAAACCAGAATTTTGCTTAAATCAGGCGGAATTTTTTCTATAAAACAGGCAGAATTAAATATAAAAATTCTGATTTTTATAAAAATCAGAATTTTTATGGTTTAAATAGGCTGAATTTGTTAACGGAATTTTTACTTGAAACAGGCGGAATTTTCTTAAATATAATTTCTTAGGGGGAATTGGGTAAAATTTTTTTTAACAACTTTTTAATCCAGCACTTCTTCAGGTCACAAAAATATATTCTACAAAAATTCTTATTTTAATTCTTATATTTTCTAATTAATTTATTTTCTTATTTAATTTTTAAAAAAATTCTCCACAATGATAATAATTAATTGTCAACATTATTATTTTAATTTTTCTGCACTCTTAAAAAAATTTTTATTCAAAAAATTTTATTTTTTTGGCCTATATTTACGCCTAAAAATTAAAAAAAATTCTTATTAATTTTTAAATTGGAAAAAAATAATTTTTTTCTGCACTTAAATTCAAAAAAAGGCTTCTTTCCAATTAAATTTTATTATTTAATTAAAAAAATGCAGCAAAAAATTATCAAAATAAAATACCAAAAATTAGGTCATTATGGGACATCATTCAAGAGATCGTTCTTCTTCATCCGATTCTTCTAGAAATGAAAGTGTTGAAAGAAAAAGTAGAGGAGCTGAAAAAGATTCGAGAATTTCACGTTCTTATCGTTCTCCTCCTCCAAGGTTTAGTTTTATTTTTTTTTTTTTAATCAAAAGTGATAAGACCTCATCCCTCCTCTTTTTTCGATGAAAATTTGGGCGGTTGATTAAAATATTGAAGATTTTGTTGGACACAAGGGTGTTTCTAGGGAAGGGACTTTTAAGCTAAAGACGACCCTTTCTCATTCCATTCCCATGTAAATTGGAAAAAATATGCTTAAGTGAATGGCGGGGAGGGGGGGGGAGAATTTAAGATTTTTTGCTTGAGAGGTTGTATAATTTCCATAATTTAAAAGAGGGATTCTGGCTCATTGGATAATTTTAAAAAGCCTAAAATTTTTTTATATTCTCCACTAAATGTTTTTTGGATAGTTCATTGGACAAAAAAATTTTTTTTTCTAATTTTTAGAAGTGGACATAAAAGCCGTGGATCACCAAAAACAACTTCGAGTAGTTGCCTCTCCGCTTTTTACAAGGAACGTTTTGGATCTCACTCACCGGAAGATTATTTAAATTTGCGAATTTCTCAATTTGACCCAAAACACGATAAAGATGATATTCGCTATTTACTTGAAAAGGAATTTCGACACTTGGCACCTTTTGAGGTTTTTCTTGATTTTAATTATTTTTTGAAATTTTTTATATATTTTTTTATTCAGGGTCTGGTTTTTCTGTTTTTTTAAATTTTTTGATCAGAAAATTTTTTGACAAGAATTTTGAAATTTTACAAAATCTGAAAATTTCGAAATTAAAAAAATTTTTTGGTCGATTTTTTAATTTCGGGTTGGCCTCCATATCTCAAATATTTTTAACAAAATTTTTTGGTAGAAAATTTCAACTTTTACAATTTACCTAAAAAACCTATTTTTCTTTAATTTTTAGATAAAAATAGTTCGAAACCCGGAAGATGATGAACGTATGGCTTATGTTAATTTTGAACGTCCTGATTGTGCAAAAAGTGTTCGGCGTTCTTTATTGCCTCGTTTAAATAAAGTTCTTGGTCGAAATATTGCAATTGACCCTGCTGGAGTTATTCGGGACCAAGAAGGTTTAATTTTAAAGAAAATTTTTGAGATTCGATCCGGAGCCTATCGGACTCCTAATACTAGATTCCTATCTGGCCCTCTAGATGCACATCCATTTTTATTAGCTTTGTGAAAATTGTGTAGCCACTGTGTGGGGGAGGGGTATTATTTAAAGTAATACTTTTAAGATTTCTACTTAATGGGAGACTCAGGTTTGTGGAAGCATGCTTTAGTCTAGTTCCTGTATACACTAACCTAAGTGAGGAAGCTAGACCTGTAGTCAACGGGAAGGGAATTTTCGGATACTTTTTGGGGAGGGAATCGGTGCCTCAGAAAATTCTTAATATATAAAATTCTTAACAATCCTACTTCACATGTAAATGTATAGATAATTTTTTGTTAATTTTACACCAAAAAATAATTTTTTTTTAATTTTTAAAGGCAAATTTGTTCCTGATCGTTATAATCGTGCTGTGTTGGCCTCTGATTCGTCTGCACCAATTCAACGTCCAATACGTCGTCTATCGCCTCCAACTCACCACCATCATTACACAAATAATCTTCAACAGCGTCGGACAATACCAAAACGTACTGAGATGCCGGTGTTTCGTGAGTTATATCACGGATTTTGTTTTGTGTTTTTTTATTATTTAATTAATCTAGAAATTTCCTCTTAAATAAGAAAAATGTGTGGGTGACGTATCTAGTCTCGATTCCGGCTTTGGGGCCTACAAGGAAAAATTGGTAATAGGTTATCGAATATGTTCTATCCAATGGTACCAAAATAAAAATACGGAATTAATTCTTTCTTTTGAAATATTACTTTTTTTTGTGACGAGGATTACCCGTATTAACCCTTTTCCATCCTTTTAAGGGGTACATCACAACCTACTGCGAGCCCAACCTACCGCCGAGGCTATAACTTCGTTCAAAATTGTCGTATCTTAGACAACTTGGTATGGTTGGATTCAGCTCGTCGAGGCGTATCGAAACATACCAAGACTTCTTGGATTCGACAATTCTGAAAGAGGTTATAGTCTCGGCATTAGGTTGGCCTGCTCTCCCGTTTAAGTAAGGAAAAAAAGATTTTTAGAGAAGCTTTGCTAACCATAAAATTTTAACTGCGGTTAAAAAGCTCGTATTAATTAATGATTAAGAATCCTCTATATTTAAATTTTTTCAGTTTTTAATTTAAAAAAATTTTTTTTTAAGATTTAAATCAAGACGATTCCCAAGCTAGCCGTACACTTTTTGTTGGTAATTTGCCTGGAAATATACGAGATTCTGAATTGCGCCGTATATTTGATTGTTATGGAACTATTGACGATGTTGATATTAAAACTTTGGCAGATTCTAATGCTGCTTATGCTTTTTTACAATTTGAGGTTTCTTTTCAAATTTAAAAATGTATTTAATTTTAAAATTTTTAGACAGTAGAAGGCTCTATAGCTGCTCGACAAGGACAACATGGAAAACCTATTCGTCCTGGGGGTAATCGATGTCAAGTTGGTAAGTGCTTTTTGGGAAATTAATTTTTTTAAAAATTTGTTCTACTAGCAAACCTCACTATAAGACATACTCACAATAGGGTCGGACTTGTCTATAAGATACTCACAAAATAGGATGCACCTCTTTTAAGAGACGTTTTTTGTGTTTGGTTGGTAATTGGGTATTTGATCACTGCTTGTTTGGTTTAGGGATTTCCCGTTTTATCAAAAATCCTTTACTCGATTTTTCGATCTGGAATTTTATCAGACTTTTTTTTGTACTTGTACATAATATCCTTAATGCAAAGGGAAGAGCTGGGAGTCAACTACTCCCTTCCAACCATTACCTTCCAGTTAATGACATTGTAGGGTCATTTTTTTAAATTTTAAGGCTGACTTTATTTAAAATAATTTTTTTTCCAGGTTATGGAAAATCAGTACCAAATCTTAGCTTGATTGTTGGTGGTTTAGGCAGTTGGGCAAATTCTGATTTACTTGATAAAGAATTTGGAAAGTTTGGGGATATTGAAGAAATTGAGTATGATGATGGGGCGTCACATGCTATTATACGGTTTTTTTTAATTTTATTTATGAGTACAGTTCGGACCTCAATTTTAATCTAAAATCAGTAAAAATGACCTCAATTAAACGTCATCTTTTCATAAAAAATAAATAGAATTTTTTTTTAATTAAAGTTTTGCTGAATCAAGTGCTGCAAATGAGGCTTGGACATCAATGAAAAATCAAGAATTAGTTGAAGATTGTGGTACAATAACTGTTGATTATGCTAGGTTTCTTAAAAATTTTTTCAAAAAAAAATTTACAAATTTTTTCAAAAAAATTTTTTCCAAAAAAAAAATTCCAAAATTTTTCAAAAATTTTTTTTTTTAAATTTTTTTAGAGAAGACAAAAAAGATTCTCGTTCAAGAAAACGTTTATGTGATATAAATAATGGAAGCAATAATGATTTGGATTCAATAAATAAACGTGCGCGTGTTTCAACTCCATCACCAAGTTCAAGTCCAACAAGAGCTGGACATTTTGAAAATATTGAGCAATTAAAAGAAGCTGTAGCTTGTACTTGGAAGGGTGTAATACAATTGAAAAAGCTTGTATATCCATTGAGGTTTTTTTTTATTTTTTTAAAAGAAATGATTTTGTTGGGGAGGGGAGGGGGAATTAACCTTGAAACTGTTTTTTTTCTATTTTTTTGGACTATCCATTTTATGTAATCATATTTGTTACGACCGGTTAATTTTTTGCTCGTGTCAGCTCAAATGGAAAATCTAAAGAACAATTGAGCAACCACAGTCGAAAATTAACCGATAGCCAACAACTTTACTACTATTGACTAACATAAGGGCGTAACCGACGGTCAATTTCAAAGAGAGGTGAGGGGCTAAAATAGGAGGGAGCCAAAATTTTGACACTTTACCATTCCAAACGCAAATTTTTTGGAGTTATATTTTTGGTTTTTCAGCGCCTCCGGCGAAAATTTTTTTGAAAATTAAAATTTTTTTATTTAATTTTTAATTTCCTTTTTCAAGCTTATATCGAGTTTTTGGACGTGAACATTTAATTCAAGACATTTTGCGTGACTCATCGGGTGTAGCTCTTCGTTTAACAATAAATCAACGTTTACCAGTTATTTTGGATTTGTATCAAAAATTAGTAGAATATACACGTACACAAATTGCAATTTCTATAGCTGTTGAAAGAGAACAAACTTGTGAACCGTTAATTAAATATTTACAGGTAAATGAATATTTTTTTGTGAATTTTTGGAAGAGAATTGGAAGCAATTTTTTCTTCTTGATTTTTTTAGAAATTTAAGAAAAAAATTTTGAAATTTTGGGGAGAGAAAAACCTTGACTTTTAAGCGCATGGCATTAATTCAATTGCCCATTTTAATCAGACTATTAACCTCGAGTCACGGGGAAAAAATTAAAGGATTAATCTGAAAACGATTTAATCTTACTAAATATCTAGATCCTGGTTCAAGGTTGAGTTGTCTAATTTACAACATATAGACTTTTCTATTTTTAAATTGACAACACCTTTCTAGAACCTAACTCAATTGCCCATTTCTAAAAAATTATTCTGAAAATTAAAGAAAATTTTTGACAATGAATAGGAGTTTGGAGCTTTGCTAGATTCCTTGCAGTTCCAAATCCGGATTTGCAACTTGAGCCGGACAGGATCCGGTCGGAGGGGGGGGGTTAAAATATTTAAAACTTGGAAAAAAAATTTTTTCAAATTTTTTTTCTTAGGAGAAAAATGCAGCAGGAGTAGTTACATTAGAAGGAGCTATACTTTATATTTTTACAAATTCACCAGTTGCTGAACGTTTATTAAAATTTTTTGCTCCAAGAGCTTTACCATTACTTTTACAAGAAGGGTCTCCACATCGTTTACTTTTAGTCTTAAAAATAAATCAAACAAGTGGGGGAGGGGGAGGACAATTTTTGACAACAACAACTCAGCAAGCTTCTTCTTTAGTTTCTGCACCACCACCTTTTCCAGTAATTAAAACAGAACCGAGAAAAGAAATTGGAGAATAAAGAAGAGGAGGGGGAAATGAGGAGGAAATATGGGGAAGAAAAATGAAAAAAAAATTGAAAATAAAAATTAAAAAAAGGGAAAAAATGTTTTTTTGTTAGGGAACAGAGGTCGATCGGAAATGACGAAGGTGCCGGAAATTGGAACTGTCGGAAATTGGAACTATCGGAAATTTGAAATGACTCAAAAGTAGGAACTCAAAAATCGGAAGGAAAAAACGTCGCAAATCAGAATTCCGATCAACCTCTTGTAAGGTTAGGAGAAAACGGAACGGGGACATAGGTGTATATCGGGGGATTTCACAGTAACACAAAAAATAACTTAACGTATTTATTCTAACAGAATGGCAGCCATTCTATTTTCCAATACCCTAAAAATTGTCATTCAATTGGAGGTGCCGTTCAATTAGAATAAATACGCGGTATATTGCGTATGTTGTAGAGTTTTACCGGAAGTTCCGGTTCTGGGCCAGAATTTAGAAAAGTTCCGATTCCGGGATCCGGAACTCAAATTGGCCCGGTTCCGGTCAAAATTTCGGTTCCCGATATATGTCTTGCTCCTAGAAAAGTTTTACAATTTTTTTATCTTTATATATATTTTTTTTAATTTTAAATATATTTTGTGTGGAAAGTATTTTTTGATTTTTTTTTGGATTTTTTTAAAAATATTTTTTTTTATTTTAATATTATTTCTCTCTTTTAAATAATGGCATTTCCCTATTTAAATAAACTAAAAAGAATATTTAAAAAAATTTTTTCTGATAAAAAAATCAAAAGTTTTTTGAGTATACTTTTATTAATTCATCAGGACATCTACTTTCTTTATTTGTTGAATATTGGATGATTATTTACGACCCCAATAGTAGCCACGTTTAATTCCACTATAAATAAAAATTAGAATTTTATAGATCAGAATTATTAAAAATCAAAAATTAAAAAATTCTGATTTTAAAAAATTCAGACAAGTCAAGGAAAAGACAAATCAAGAAACGACCAATTCAAGGACCAACTCACGAAATGGCTAAAACATGGAATATTTTAAAAATCGGAATTTTTTGAAAAATCTTAATATTTTTTTAAAAAAGAATTTTTAAAAAAAATTTGACTACTTTAAAAAACAAAATTGGAAAAAAATTCTGAAAAATATTCAGATTTTTCAAAAAAAATTCCGATTTTTAAAATATTCCGTGAGTTGGTCGTTCCTTGTCATGTCGTTCGATTTGTCTTTCCCTTTAGTTAGCATGACACGGTTTTTTGTTAGTTTTATTAATTCATCAGGACATCTACTTTTTTTTAGTTGTTGGGTCTTGGTGGAACACCCCAATTGCCATAACCGCGTTTAATTCCACTGAAAATAAAAATCAGAATTTTTAGAAATCAGAATTTTTAGAAAACAGAATTTTTAGAAATCAGAATTTTCAGAAATCAGAATTTCTTAAAATCAGAATTATTAGAAATCAGAATTTCTTAAAATCAAAATTTTCAGAAATCAGAATTTCTTAAAATCAGAATTTTTAGAAATCAGAATTTCTTAAAATCAGAATTTTTAGAAATCAGAATTTTATCCGTAAAAATAAATAAGTAATAAAATTACTGATCAGGTCCTCCAGTCTCTCCAGCAATTGCAGATTCAATCATTGCCATAATAAACGCGACAAGCAAAGCAAGTAAAAATTCCTTCATTTTATTTTTTAGAATAAGATTATATTTTTATTTTATGAGTTGAGGTAAACAAATAATTTTAACTTTTATACCCATCTTCCGGAAGCCCTCGGGGCATTTTTTAATAAATTAAAAAAAAATTTTTTGAGTTTTTAATCAAAAATTTTTTGATTTATTTGTCTTGAATTAATAAAAATTATTTATTTTGATTTAAAAACAATTTTTTTAAATGTTAGTAAGTAAAAATTAAAATTTGTTTTTCTTTAAACAAAAAATGTAAAAATAAAAAAATATCTTGTTTACCCAAAATTTTATTTTTTGTTAATTAAATTATGTATCTGAGCAATACATCATTAAATTAATTGGCTGTTTTTTTACGATTTTTAGATTTTTTTTTAATATCTAAAATTATTATTGAAAATAACATATGTATGATAAAATTAAAATAATACTGAAAGTACAATGTACTTTTATATTTTTTAAGTTTAAACTTAAAACTTTAAATCAGAATTTAAATTTTAAGATAAAATCAGAATTCCAAGATTCAAGATAAAACCAGAATTTCAAGTTTAAACTTAAAAATAAAATCAGAATTAAAACAAAACCAGAATTTCAAGTTTAAACTTAAAAATAAAATCAGAATTAAAACAAAACCAGAATTTCAAGTTTTAACTTAAAAATAAAATCAGAATTAAAACAAAATCAGAATTTCAGGTTTGATTAATTTCTCTAGAATAATAAACCAGAATACTAATTTAAATCAGAATTAAAAAAATAAACTTAAGTGTGACTCTTTAATAAACTTGAAAGCCTTGTAATAAAATATAAAACTTAAGTTTAAACTTAAAACTTAATTTTAAAAGTAAAGTAAATGAAAATTTAAATTAATGAAGAAATAAAATTTTGGAAATGAATACTATTTTTTAACTTTTTGTTTGATCATCCTCCTCCGCTTGAGTTAAATAAAATAGTAAATATTTTTAAAAATAATTTTTATATTATTTTTAAAAATTTTATAAAAATTAAAAAGTGCAAAATTGTGGGTTTCTAAAAACAAAAAAAAACAAGTCTAGCGTGAAACTGAATAAATAAAAAATAATTAAAAAATTCATATATAAACCCCCTAAAGCTTGGTAAAAATCAACTTCATCTCCTCTCCTTCCCTCAAAAATTCCAAAAAATCCAAAAGCATCAAAAAATGTCCAAAACATTTTTAATCTTAACCTTCACCATTTGGCTACTTTCCTCAACTACTGCTACTAAAAATAAGTCTAATGGTCTACTTGACGAATTATTAGATTTGGAACTAGCTAAGAAGCTAGTTAAAGAGATTAATTTAAAAGCTGCTGGAATATGGACAGCCTCAGTTAACGAATTGAGTCGTTTGCCGTTGGCAAAGCAAAAGATCCTTTGTGGAGTTAAACTCAGTGCTGAAGTAAAAATAAACAAAACTGAAGCAGAACCCCCAAAGTTTGATACAAAACCAGGCTGTGAATGCTTCCCAAAAGTTGATTTTGACGCCAGAACTAACTGGTCTGGATGTTCTCAAATAATTGGACGAATTCAAAATCAAGGCCAATGTGGCAGTTGTTGGGCTGTCTCAACCGCTTCTGCCTATACTGATCGTTACTGTATTGCTAGAGCCAAGAAGGGACAGAATTCCCCATCAAATGATGCTGGTTATCAATTTTCTGCTTTAGACGTGCTTACATGTTCAATGCAAGGAGATGGTTGCCGTGGTGGCTGGCCTTATAGTGCTTGGCAGTGGATACAAACTAAGGGGGTTTGTACTGGAACTGATTATACTTGGAAAAGTGGATGCAAACCTTATCCTTTCTCACCGAACCAAGCTGGGCCGGCCCCTCCTTGTATGTCGTCATGCACAGCAAGTTGGAGAACCGCTTATCCACAGGATAAACATATGGGTAATTTTATTGAAAAAATTTTTGTTAACTAAAAATATAAAGGAGTATCAGCTGCCCAACTTTCTGGAAGTCAAGCAACTGTAGCAGCCATTCAAAGAGAAATACAAACAAATGGGCCTGTTGTAGCTATTTTCGCTGTCTACTCAGATTTTATGTCTTACAGATCTGGAGTCTATTTTGTATGTAAATTAATAAAATATAGTTGGACATCGCTATCAGAGATGTGCGCCAAAAGTGGCAACATTCAAATTGCTAAAACACGCCAAAGTCAGAACGCCAAAATCGACCAAAATAACGCCAAACGTCATAGCGCACATTCTTGATAGCTACATATAAGATACTCTCTATGGATGGACCTTTAATATATACCTTTAACCTATTAAACTAGGAGTATCGTTTAGGCAGCTCTCCTAACCAGTTGCTAACCTAAACTTAAGAAGTGTATAGTAAACTGAGTCTAAAAAATTTTTTTATTAAAGAGAACTAGCAATCAATTAGTTGGTTACCATGCTGTTCGTATCATTGGATGGGGAACACAAACATGCTTCACCAGTAATCAAAAAGTTGACTTTTGGATAGGAGCAAATTCTTGGGGTACTGGATGGGGAGAATATGGCTTTTTCAAAATCCGACGTGGAGTGAATGAAGTTGGATTCGAACAATCAGGGATTTCGTTTGGAATTCCTAAAGCTTAATTTTGGTCGATTCAAATATTTTATTAGTTATACTTTAGTATTTATATGTTAATTATATTTTTAACTAGCTTATAATTATATTTTTTATATGCTTAGAATCAGAATAAACTTAGTAGTATGTACATATAATATTCTAAATATTTAATTAAGGTAATAAAAATAATTAGCTGAAATGTGAAATCAGAATCTTAGATTTTTTAGTTAAATTAAATTAATAAGACAGATAATTAATTTAAACTTAGAATCAGAACATATATTCTGATCTTAAAACTTAATTTGAAACTTAAAAATTCATGCTTAAAAACACAGCAAACTTAAGTCTGACATTTTAATAAACCCCCATTGTATTCTGTGACCAGGTCCTTATAGAAGTCGCAAACCTCATATAGTATAATTCAGGGATTCAACCATATTCAAATGAAAGAACCCTATGCAAATGAAAAACCATTAAATTTCCAAAATAATATGTCCTAAAATAACCAGTACAAATATTAACTCATGCAAAGATCAACACACATTACTAATCTTAAATGTATTTTAATAAATAGCAGATCTTATTTAACAAAATTAAAGAACTATGGTACTATCTCCCCCTGTAAGATTCGAGTAATCTTACTTAAATTTATTTATTTTCTCAATCTAGAGGTCTTAAAACAATTTATTTTAAGAATATTTTATCAACAAATTATTTAAATTTTAAGTTCAATATAAGGTTCACTTATATGTGTATTATATGTATCAATTATATGTGTAGTTGGGGAGAAGAGTTGATTAGATAGAGGGAAATGGGCGGAGGATTATGTAAATAAAAAGGTGAAAAGGTTGAATACTTACTATGTTGACTGAGACATTTATTCGAATTTAAAGAAGGGAATTGCAAATCAGAATATTAAATGCTATAAATGATAAGATGGGAAATTGTTGTGAGGGGAAACATAATTTGAATAATTGGGAAAACATTATTAGTTGAATAATATAAGGGCATCTGACTGAAAAACCCTTGTGCTATTAAGTTGAGATTAGATAAACACGACTTGTAGTAATCAGCCAATCCTGTCACGGGTTTGTAAGACGTCGTGCTTCAGTAATATATTACCTAAATATAATTATGAATGTAAATAAAAATTTAAATTGATGATGAAATAAAATTTTGGAAATGTTTACTATTTTTTTTACTTTTTGTTTGTTCATCTTTTAACGTTTAAGGTAAATAAAATTAGTAAATATTTTTAAATATAATTTATATATTATTTTTAAAAATTTTATAAAGTAAAAAGTGCAAAATTGTGGGTTTCTAAAAACAAAAAAAACAAGTCTAGCATTGAATCTGGGTAAATAAAAAATAATTTAGAAAAGTCATATATAAACCCCCTAAAGCTTGGTAAAAAGCAACTTCATCTCCTCTCATAATTCTCCTCTCTTTCCCTCAAAAATCCAAAAGCATCAAAAAATGTCCAAAACATTTTTAATTCTAACCTTCACCATTTGGTTGCTTTCCTCAACTACTGCTACTAAAAATAAATCTAATGGTCTACTCGACGAATTATTAGATTTGGAACTAGCTAAGAAGCTAGTTAAAGAGATTAATGTAAAAGCTGCTGGAATATGGACTGCTTCAGTTAACGAGTTGAGTCGTTTGCCTTTGGCAAAGCAAAAGATCCTTTGTGGGGCTAAACTCAGTGCTGAACTGAAATTAAACAAAACCGAAGCAGAACCTCCAAAATTCAATACAAAAGCGGGAGCTCAATGCACCACAAAGATAGATTTTGACGCCAGAACTCAATGGCCTGGATGTTCCTCAATTATCGGACGAATTCAAAATCAAGGCCAATGTGGCAGTTGTTGGGCAGTTTCCACGGCTTCTGCCTTTACTGATCGTTACTGCATTGCTAGAGCCAAGAAGGGACAGAATTCTGCAGGAAATGATGCCTCTCTTCAATTTTCGGCTCTAGACGTGCTAACATGTTCAATGCAGGGAGATGGTTGCTGGGGTGGTTCGCCTTCTCAAGCCTGGAGATGGATACAAACTACGGGGGTTTGTACTGGAACTGATTATAACTGGAGAAGTGGATGTAAACCTTATCCTTTCTCGCCGAGCCAAGCTGGGCCTGCCCCTCCATGCAAGTCGTCGTGCACAGCAAGCTGGAAAACTGCTTATCCACAGGATAAACATATGGGTAATCTATTTGAATTTATTTAACAATATTGGCCTTATGCGCCCATATATATCAGCTTTCCCTTAGATTCCATAATCCATCATCGGGTTGGATGGTGGCTAGAGCTGTCCGAGACCGAAAATTTTCCAAGACTCGAGACCAAGACTCAAGACATAGACTAGACTAGAGCTCGGCACGGGACGGGACCCCGTACGGGATTTTACGGGATCCCGTCCCGGAATCCCGGGTTTTTAGCGAAAAACGGGATTACCGGGATTCCGGGATTTACGGGATTAATCACGCGGGATCCCGTCCCGTTCAAAATTTTTAAACTCAATCCCGTTCCGGGATCCCGGGAATTTTTTTCCAATTTACGGGATTTATAATTACTCCAGAAAACTGCCTGCGGAGCTGAAAAAGGAAGAAATCTGGCTTCTTGGCCTTCCAAAATTCTCTAAATTTTCGCCTGCGGCGCTGAAAAAGGAAGAAATCTGGGGAATTGCTCTTCAAAAATTCTCAAAATTTTCGCCTGCGCCGCTAAAAAATGAAAAAAGCTGGCTTCTTAGCCTTCCAAAAGACTAAAGTCGGCTTCTCCTTCCAAAATTAGAAAGTTTTGCCTGTGGTGGATAGATTAAGAGTAATAAGAATGGATTTTGGGATTAACAGAGATATAGAGGGATTGTGAGATGTACGTTGGTTTGTGAAGTTCAATTCCGGAGGATTAAGAAATATATGATGTTGGGGTATTGGAAAGGGATATCATCGATTTGGGATTAACACAGGATTATGAGGGATTTGGAGGATAATAGGTGGTATCAGGGATTTATGGATTAAGAGGTATATCAAGGATCTGAGGATTAAGAGTATATTGAGGGATTAGAGGAATAATCCCCATATATCCATTCAAATCCAGTTGAGTCCCTAAATCCGCTATAGCCTTTACCCACCGTTCCTCATATCAACCTTTATCACTCCAAATATACCGATATCCCCTAAATCCATCTATAAGCATCAGATCCTCTTAATCCCTCTTAATCCACTGATATCCTTCTTAATCCTCTGTTATCTATTCATTCCTCTCTTAACCCGTCGAAATCCACCGATATTATCTTCAAATCCGCCGATATTCAACATATCTATAAGTAAAAATTTTTTTTGTGAAAATCCCAGAATCCCGGCGGGATCCCGGTAAATTTGAAAACGGGATTACCGGGATAACGGGATTTACGGGATTAATCCCGCGGGATCCCGTCCCGTACAAAATTTTGAAAAAAATCCCGTTCCGGGATCCCGGGTATGCGATTTTGCCGACCTCTAGACTAGACCCCAAGACCAAGACCCAAGAAAAGTTTTGAGTCAAGACTCAAGACCAAGAGTCTCGGATAGCTCTAATGGTGGCACAGTCGAGTGTGCTTCGGTCTGGGCTCTTTCCATGATGGTTCTATTCCATCTCCAATCCAATGAATTTTTCCACAGCATGAACATGTATGTATATAATAGAACCTATAGCTAGGAAAGAATATTCGGTCTCTTCTGATCTGAATACCCGGGTCATTATACTAACTGTTAGAAAATCAGAAATAAAACATTATGGGACGCATAAGATTGAAATGAACAGAATTTTTTAAATTAAAAAAAATAAAGGAACATCCTCTGGTGCACTTTATGGAAATCAAGCAACTGTAGCAGCCATACAAAGAGAAATACAAACAAATGGGCCTGTTGTTACTGTTTTCCTTGCCTATCAGGATTTTATGTCCTACAGATCTGGAGTCTATTTCGTGAGTAAATGATACCCTAAAAAATAATTTTAAAAATATTCTAAAGAGAACAACCAATCAACGTGTAGGATATCACGCTGTTAGAGTCCTTGGATGGGGGACGCAAACTTGTGGGAGCCAAAAAATTGACTTTTGGATAGCGGCGAATTCGTGGGGTACTAATTGGGGGGAAGCTGGGTTCTTCAAAATCCGTCGGGGAGTGAATGAAGTTGAATTTGAAAAATCAGAAATTTCTTATGGAATTCCTAAAGTGTAATTTTGGGTGATTCAAATATTTTATTTTTATATTTTAGTGTGTAGTATTTATATGTTAATTATATTTTTATATAACTAAGTAGAATCAGAATAAACTTAGTAAAATATTTTCGTTAAGAGTGTTATAAATATTTGGTTAAAACTTGAAATCAGAATTTACTCAAGTTTAATTAATTATTTTAAAATGATAAAACAGACTAGTATATTAACCAAACTTAAGACCATAAAATATATTCTGATTTTAAAACTTAAGTTCAAACTTAAAACTTTAAATCATAATTTAAAACAATAATGGAAAACTTAAGTTTGTCATTTTAGTCAACTTGGATAAACTTTAATATAAATTAAAAATTAAGATTAAACTTAAAATATAAATAAGCTTAAGTTCAAACTTAAAATTAACTAAACTTAAGTTCAAGCTTAAAACTTGACTAGGCTCAAGCTCAAACTTGAAATTTTAATAAACTTGGAAAAATTAATACAACTTAAAATTAAGCTCAAGCTTAAAACTTTAAAATCAGAAAAAATCAGAATAATAAAATCAAATTGTTTCAAAAAAAATAATAGTGAAAGTAAAAAAATATTTATGAAAATTTCTCCAAATAATGTGGGATAGATTGACGTTTATATTCTTCTAGTGGAATTAAATCTGCAGATGGTCTCCTTAGAATATTATAGTTTTGGTAAAAATAGGAGAGGAAAAATCCAGTAAACCAAGGGATCCATTTATGCCTTTTCTGTCGACGCCTTTTAATTAAAAATATTTTTTTTTATTTTTAAAATTAAAAAAAACCATATTGTGAAGCGTAATATTAAAGCAAGACAAAGTCCAGTAGAATAAAAATTAAATTGCCTTAACCAAGAAAGTGCCGCTTGCGCTTTTGGTAAATTTTCCAGGCGTTCTTTTAACATATAAATCTAGAAATATTTTTGTTCTAAAATTAAACTTTACAATTTTACCTTAATCCCCATTAAATAGTTGAATAAATAGGTATCCCAATCAACTTTGCGAATATCAAAGTTGTACAACTTTAATTAAATATATAATTTATTTTATTAAATACTTAAGTTTTGAGAATTTATTTAATTTCAAGTTTATTTAAATTCAAGTTTATTTTCAAGTTTATTTATTTTTAAGTTTATTTAAATTCAAGTTCAATCTTAAGGGTTATTTAGTAATTCAAGTTTAGTTTTTAGTTTATTTAAAATTCAAGTTTAATCTTAAATCTATGCTTCAAGTTTATTCTCAAGTTACAACTTTATTTTATTGTTTCAAGTTTATTTATTTTTAAGTTTAAGCTTAAAGTTTCATGTTCAAGTTTAATTAAGTTTCAAGTTTGATCTTGAAGTTTATCTAATTTTAAGTTCATCTTAAATTATTTAATTAAGTTTTAAGTTCAATCTCAAAGTTTATGAAACTTTCAAGTTTAATATTACTTAAAGTTTCAAGTTTATTTTCAAGTTACAACTTTATTTATTTTATTGTTTCAAGTTTATTTTTTAATTTCCAAGTTTAATCTTAAGTTTTAACACTAATAAAAACTATTTTTCTTCAAACCTTCTTATCCTCCATGCTCATTCCATTCCACAACTTAACAGCATTTTTCGATTCAAAAGTCCATTCACGTGTAGTAAAATAATGCAAAGTTTCCATCATCCTCCATATTTTGTTGTATATTTTAAAAAATCTGTTAATATTTAAATTTATTTCTAAATTAATTTTTGACCAACTTTGGTCTCTTTCCAACTAATTTAAAGGCACGATCGGCAGCCTGGGCAATTAAATAGTGTTTCAAATAAAAATTTATCAAAAATATTTTTCTTTGACGATGAAATTGTGTTGAAGGAACCTTTAATTTTATTTAATAATTGAAAAATTAATAATTTTTCTAGTCACCCTGTAGCACTGATCAAAAGGATATGCGTGGAAAAACTGCTCCAAATAGTTTACAATTCTATAAAATTAATTATCAAAACTTAAGTTTATTAACTAGAAAAGTTTATTAATTAATTCCAAGTTTATTTTAATTTAATAAAAGTTTCAAGTTTATTAATTAAAATGTTTCAAGTTTATTTTAAATTCAAGTTTATTTATTTCAAGTTTATTTTTAAGATTGTAAATGCTTCAAGTTTATTTTTTAAAATTCAAGTTTATTCATTCAAGTTTACTTTTACATATTGCAAAATTTTTACAAATTGTAAAAGTTTCAAGTTTATTTATTTTAATTATTAAAAGTTTCAAGTTTATGTACAACCTTCTCCACTTTAACGGATTTAATTCGCCTGAAGTACAATGTATTATTGGTATTGTCGTTGTTTTTTCATTATTTTCTTTATTATTCGGCCTTTAATTTTTAAACAAAATTAAATCCAATTTTTTAAATTAAAAAACATTTTAGCTCTATAAACAGCAGCAGCAATCAACATATTAGCAACTATATCAACGGGAATAATATCTGTTTTTATATCCACATTTCCACACATATCAGTTAATAACCCTTTCCCAACTCCAATAAATATCCCTGTGGGTCCGTTAACATTATCAATCCATCCGGGAAGAGGTTCCTTCCATATAGCACCAACAATGGAAGGGCGAATAATTATTATTGGGAGGGAAGGAAATTGTTTTTGTTGTTCTAGCAACTATAAAAATTAAAAAACTTTAATTAAAAATAACAAACTTGAAACTTTAAGTCCCACTTAAAACTTAAGTTCTAGAATAAATTCAGGTTTATTTATTAAACTTAAGTTTTCGAATAAAGTTGTAAATTAAAACAGGCAAGTGAAAAAATTTAAGTTTAAACTTAAGTTTTAGAATAAATTCAGGTTTATTTATTAAACTTAAGTTTTCGAAAAAAATCCAAGTTTCATTTTTTAAAATTTAAGTTTTAATAAATAAACTTGAACTTAAGTTTAAGCTTCAAGTTTATTTATAGTTTCAAATTTATTTTTTGCTTCAAGTTTATTTTTATTTTTTTTGTTTCAAGTTTTAATTATTCAATTACCTGACTCTCTGCTAACGCTTTAGCAAAAGTATAAGTATTTGGGCGATTCTAAAAATAATTTGTTAAAAATATTTTTTATTTATTAAATTATTTTTAAAATTAAGATACATCAAGTAATTGAGCAGAAAGGGAATCAAGCATTTTTTCATTCATCCAACTACTTGCTGCTTCAACTAATTTAGAAGCATTAACACAAGGTTCATAAATATGTTCCGAAGTATATTCTTTATTACAATTAGCATATGCTGTTGATGTGTGGACAAATGCCTTTTTTAAATAATTTATTCAAAAAATTAAAAAAAATTATTTTTACTCTAAGATGCTTCATTCGTCTACAAAGCGCAGTCAATCGCTGAGTTCCTATTACATTCCTTTAAATTTTTTTAATTTAGAAAAAATTATTTTATCAACATCTAATTAATTATCAATTTTTAATTATTTTTTATTTAAAAATTTACAAACATTTGAATAGAAGCACGCAATGCTTCATCAAATTTTACCGTTGCTGCACAGTGAAAAACTTAAAGAAATAAATAGATTAAAATAAACTTGAAGCAGATTTTTTATGTTATAAATAAGTTTTATTAAAACTTGAAACAGGCGGAATTAAAAAAAGTTTAATATTTAGTAAAACTTGAAGCAGGCTGATTTAAATTTTTTTTAGAATTTATTAACATTAGAAGCGCGCGGAATTTTGAAACTAATTAGTTATTAAAAACTTGAAACAGGCGGATTTTTTAATTTCAATTCTGCTTGCTTCACTTATAAACTCATACCAATAGAAACTTCATTAGCTAGCGTTTCTTGATCTTCACAACTAATCCCCAAATCTTCTTGCATTAAATCCCCACATATAGGCACAAGCATTCTTTCAAGTCTATTCTCATCCTTGCAACGTATTCGGCTAAACAATGGACTCTAAAAATTAATTTAAAAATTAAAGCAGAAGCAGAATTTTTTAAATTTACTTCAAGTATTTTTGACAGTCTTAAATGCGGTGCTTCACCATTCAACGGGCGTAGAAGCAAATATATTTTATTTAGTTTGGGTTGGGAGAAAACCAACTTTTCCAGCAACACTTTGCCTAAAAAGCCGCTAGCGCCTGTTATCAATACACTATAAAATTAAAATTTAAAATATTATAACTCTAATTAAACACCTAACACCCTCATAATATTCTGAAATATTTAATGGCTCTTCTAGCATTTCAATTTCATCAATGGTTGATGTACTAGTGGGTGTAGGGGTTGAATTATTATTATTCATTTTTAAAAATATTAATTAATAAAAATTTGAAGCAGGCTGAATTAAGTATTATTAAAACATGAAGCAGGCGGAATTTATTAAAATAAAACTTAAAACAAACTTTAATTTAAGTACATATATTATTATTTAAACTTGAAACAAAGTTTATTAAATAAAACTTTAAGCTTTAATTTATATTTTTATTAAAACTTGAAGCAGGCGGAATTAATTAAATTAATTGTAAAACAGGCGGAATTAGTAACCTAAACTACATAGGTAATTAAATATTAAGTCTGAACTTGAAGCAGGCGGAATTATTAAATACATAAACCAGGGCTCTCATCGACAAAATACCAATCAAAAGTACAAAAATCTTGATTTTAAAGTACATAGGGACAAAATTTCCACATTTAAAGTACACTCAAAATTAAATTAGAAAATACATATTTATTCGTGCTTAAATTTTTATATTTCTCTCCTAAATGAATCTTTTCTAATAATTTCTTGTTTCCACTGAGCATTTTGTGCATTTCAATGCATGACATGTCAAAATTCGCTGACACAAGAAATAAAGCCCTGACAGTCAACCTCAAACAAGCTACTTTCTTTCGTCATTTTTCAGCGCCGCAGGCGAAAATTTTGAGAATTTTAGAGCTCAAGAAGCCAGATTATTTCCATTTTTAGCGCCGCAGGCGAAAATTTTTAAAATTTTAGAAGGCCGTAGGCAAAAAAATTCACTTTTTCAGCACCGCAGGCGAAAATTTTTTGAAATTTGGAGCCCAAGAAGCCAGATTTCTTCCTTTTTCAGCGCCGCAGGCGAAAATTTTGAGAATTTCGAATGCCGTAGGCCAAAAAAATTCACTTTTTTGCCCAATCCCTTCCCCAATTTCATTTTCAATCTAAAATGTTGATTTTAAAGTACATACTTTCAATAAAGTACAAATTCAATTTTGTAAGTACGGAGGTCGATTTTAAAGTACTGTACTTTCAAATAAAGTACGAATGAGAGCCCTGACATAAACTTTAACTATTTATATTTTTACAAACTTGAAACAGGCGGAATTATATTAATTAAAATAGAGATCAGGTTCAATTATATAAATAACTAAATATTAAATCAAAACTTGAAGCAGGCGGAATTTATTACAATTATTACAATATATTATAATAAATATTTAATTGTAGGAAAATATCAGCAAAATCAATCAACTCAATTATATTTACTAAATATTTTTTTATTCTCGATTTAATTCTCAATATTTTCCTAAAAACAGTACAAAGCTTTTCTTTTTATCATTTTCTTATCTTTTTTTGTAGAAAATTTTTTTTCCAAAATTTCTTAATTATTTTTATGATGGGCAGATGTATTTATTAGTCAATTACTTAATTTATTTAAAATATTCTAACGTTTTTTATCATTAATTTTGGGGAAGAGACAATAGTAAAATTAAAAATAAAATAGAAAAAAAAATTCCAGAGACTGAGAAAAAATTTTTTTTGTTTGAAAATTGATTGTGGTCTTTTAAAAAGGATGTTAAATGAATGGCCCCATATTTTTTTGAGAATTTTTGGGAAAAATTTTTTTGGGGAAAATAATATTTAAAAATGTTTAAAAATAATTAAAAAAAATAAAAAAAGTAAATAAAAAATAAAATTAGGAAAATGACTTTAAAAAAGTGTGTTAGCAAGCAACAAATAAACATGAAGCAATAAATCACGCTTAAATGTTTCAATTATATATGTTAACAATTAAAATAAAATAAACTTGTTTTTCAGAAAATAAACCTGAAAATAATAAATAAAAGCTTATTTCTTAAACAAAGTTTAAATGGAATATTAAAATGTTTGTTAAAAAATAAACTTGCTTCAGAAAAAAATAAACTTGAAATTAAACTAGAAAATTAAACTTGAAAATAAACTTGAAATTAAACTTGAAATTAAACTACTGTAAGGTATTTGAGAGTGAAGGTATTCTAATAACCCTATACCTTTTGGTTTTGGGTGACATTGATCATTAATCATACCGCGACATGGACGCCGGGTTAACTACAAGAGAGGTTCTTATATGAATGAGAGTTTTCTAACATAGAGGGCTTTATGAGGTTTACTATTAGTGTGTATACAGACTTTTTTTAGACCTTTTTTGCGGAAAATATGGAGAAAAATATGCAAAGGAGTACGATACCGATTTTGTAATTGAAAAAAATTTTTTTCCCAAAATTTTATACAGAGGAACGTAAAGTTTTACAATTTCAAAAATGCTTGTTTGTTGGTTTAGTAAATATAAAAAGGGCAACAGAATATCTGTCATTTTTTCAAGCTCAAAACAATCTTTTCTTTTTACATTCTCTTCTTTTTATCCAAAAATTCAATCTTGAATTTAGATTTTAGGAGGATACGGGGTTTTAGCCCGCTTCTTTTCTGCCTCCGCTGCTTGCTTTCTTATCTCATCTTAATTTGATTAAATAAAAAATTTATTAAATGAAAGAAATGTTTAAATTGTTTTTAAACACGGTAACAATTGGAGTCAGCAGGGCCAAGATCTTGAGCAAGAAACTCAGTTAACGAGTTCGATATCTCAAAAAGATCGATTCGATAACGTTCTCGAACCTCTAGGCTACATTAGTGGCATGAAGGATTAAGTTGGATGTCGGTGGAGTTGGAGGGATGTCGTCGGATTTGGTGGAACTATGTAGGGGATCAAAGGATTTAAAGGGATGTCAGCGGGATCAAGAAGGTTAACGTGAATTTAGAAGATATCAGACTAAAGAAATGAGAGGATTTGCCCTCTTACTCCCTGTCAGTATCTTTGTTAATCCTAATAATTCATAGGTATCTTCCCCTTATCCTTGTAACCTCTCGATATTTATTTTGTCTCCCAAACCCCAATATTTTTAACTCTAAATCAGACTGTCAGGAGTTCTATAGAGATAATCATTTGATATCCTTCATGTCCTTAATTTTTTGATATACCTAAGTAAATTTGAAGTTATGTCTGAGGGTATGAGTGAAAAATTTGAGTGAAAAATATTTTAAATAATACCAAAATAGGCAGCTTTATTCTCTTTCATTTTTTTACGTTCTTCTTCTTTGCGGCTGTCTATTGCTGAAGAATACGAAGAATTAATAAAAATAATAATACATAAAATAATTTTGACATTTTTTTGTTGATAGAAGGTTAAAAACCTTGGGTAATTATTTTTTCAAATCTTGGTTAGGAGGTAATTAATAGAAGCCGGATATTTATTTGCGGGAGGGCAGTTAATACAGTATATAAGAAAATATTTTAAATACTAACTTTTCGGCTCTTTGCCAGTTGAATAGGAAGAATTAATAAAAATAAGAATTAATAATATAAAAACAAAAATAAATTTTGACATTTTTTTGTTGTTTAGTAGGTAGGAAATTTTTTTTTGAAAATTTTAATTGAAGAAAAACTTTTGAATGATTTCCCTCCTAATTTTCTAGTAGCTTTTATATTCATTAAATTCAACTGGAACGTACACATGTATATGCCCGTCGAAAAACGTACGTCTTTAATTTTTACGTTAAATTTAAAGTGCATCCTTTGTCTATAAATTTTTCCATTGTCGTCTATAGTATAAAATTTTTCTTACCCCCTTTCTAATAGACTGCCACCATATTTTTTTATGCGTGAGGGTAGGGCCTCTGACTAAATTTTTTGAATTGACAATTAAGGGAATAGCCACAAATTGATTTTTGTCTACCTAAAAAATTCCTTAAAAATTCTTTAAAAATTCCCCCTGTTTAATAAAAATTTTTTCAAATCGATTTTGAATTAAAAATTAACTAAAATATATTTAAAATTAATTAAGAATCCTCCTTGAATTGTTTAAATTTAAAGGAAATACCGAGATTTTTCCAACTGCGATGGAAGTTCCAACTGCGATGCCGCTGCAGGTTGTTACAGAAAAGTTAATAATAGAAATAGATTTATGTGGACAGATTATAGGTTTGGTATAATGTTCTGTTCTGTAGCAGTCATTATTAGGGCTGTCAAAAACATGCAAACTTAAGAGTTAGAGTCCCTTTCCTTTTCCTTTCATCTATCTTCTTGTATCCTCCTTAACAAATTAATTACTTTTTAATTGGTTCAAAGTCGTACCGTCGACCGCTGTCAATAAAACAACTAAAAACAGAGGAGCCGTTATTGACACCCGCGACGGTGGCTGAGAGATAACTACTGGGTATTCGAGTGGCCTTCTACCTTTGCTTTTTGGTGACGGGTCATTAATCATAACCGAATTACAAAAGAAGTTCTTATAAGAGTGACTAACATAATGGGTTTTTATAAGAAGCTAAGGAGTAAGATACCGATTTGATTAAAATAAATCTGCGTCAAGGAGGAGATAAAACCTCTAATTAAAACTTTCTTTTACAAAATAATAAAAAGATTTTTCTCAAAATTTTATCCAAAATAATCGCAAGTTTTTACATGAAAATTTTAAAAATGTTTGTTTGTACAATTAAAAAGAGCAACTGAATATCTGTTTGTTTTTTATAATTGTCAATTAAGGGAATAGCCACAAATTAATTTTTGTCTGCCTAAAAAATTCCTTAAAAATTCCACACGTTTATCAAAAAATTTTTTCAAATCGATTTTAAAATTTAAAAATTAACTAAAATTTATTTAAAATTAATTAAAAATCCTCCTTGAATTATTAAAATTTAAAGGAATAGGTTGTTCCAACTGTTATAGAAGTTATTGAAGAAAAAGGTGGTGGTGGATAGATGCCTCAGCAGGTTGTTCCAGAAAAGTTAATACATAGAATAGATTTATGTGGACAGATCATGGTTTGGTATAATGTTCTGGTCTGTAGCAGTCATTATTAACTACTGGACAAGAACAGTTTGAGGTGTGTACCCAGGAGAAATTTGTTGGTAAATTTTGCATTAGATTAGAAGAAGAAAGGTTAGGTTTAGGAAGACTTCATTCTCGTAATTGGTATGTTCAACCTTCATGTGCAATTGGTGGAAGTGGTCTTTTTGAAGGATTAACTTGGCTAGCA